CCCATAGAGCATGCGCTTAAGAGACTTGACGGTGGCTGAGCAGGACCAAGTGGCTTTCTTTCACCAGTCGAGCGGTTACCTCTGGTTTAGCCCTGCGCTAATTTGAATGGGGTTAAAATGATTTAATCGTGCGGCTCTTCTAGACTTTAGAACTGAATGGATGGGAAAAAAGTCTTCTTTTCCCCGTGCTGTTCCCAAGAGTTTGGTTTGACCAAAGTCTGCAGAATTGTTGAGCTGGTTGAGTCGATACACTTTTCAGTTACTTTGTTAATCAGACAGCCTCTAAATGATGTAGCCAGTTTGTCACACACACACACACACACACACACACTGAAAGTCAAACAAAAGTAAAACAAATAAAAACATCAGACAGGGATGGAGTTCTTAAAAAGAGTACCTATAGAAGTTGCTTTTTAGAAGCTGCATAAAACAGTCCAGAGATTCAGCAAATCTGATAGATTGGGAAGATGATTCCGTAAGGCCAAAACACACCGGCGGCGTACCGCGCGCGTCAAAACAGCCGCCCCCATTATTTTCTATTTACAAACCCACAACGGCGGCGGCTCAACGCGCGTCGATGTGCTGCATCGCGGCACTTTACGCTATTGTCCTATTTTTCCAGCGTCGCCGCCCTTGAAAAAGCGCTATTTTGTACCCAGCCTAGCGGACTGGAGTGTGCAATAGAAATCCGGTTGATGCCCTGCAGCATGACGCTTTTTGTGTGTGTTGGAGGCAGCACTTGACTTGCGTCAATGACGCTGCCGTCATATGACGCCGCCGTCAGGGCGTTGAGGGTTGGGGCTAAAACATCGAATGCAGGCTCCCCTTTTGTTTTGCATTTGGAGTGAGGGATAGATAAACCCTAAGATTTGAGGATCGGAGTGGTAAAGAAGTAGAATAAGGAACAAGGAGATCAGAAATGTAACTGGGGGCAAACAGTGCTTTGTATACTGATCAGCCTAAAGATTAAAACCATTGGCAGGTGAACGTTGATCATCTTGTTACAATGCAGTGTTCTGCTTGTAAACCTTTGGTCCTGGTATTCATGTTGATGCCAGTCGACATGCTCCACCCACCCAAACACCATTGCAGACCAAGTACACCACCTCACAGCAACAGCAATCCCCATGCCACACCACAGAAAAAAAAAACAACTTGTGTACCGCCATGTCCCAAAGATGCTTGATTAGATTTGGAACTAGGACATTTTGAGGCTAGGTTGATGCCTGAAGCTCTTTGTCATGTTCCTCAGGCCATTCCTTAACAGTTTTTGTGGTGTGGTGTATTGTCCTGCTGGATGGCCCACTGCCATCCTGTAGTGCTGTTGCCATGAAGGGGTGTACTTGGCCTGCAACACCGTTTGAGTGGGTGGACCACGTCAATGGGCATCCACATGGATTCCAGGATCAAAGGATTCCCAGCAGAACATTGTATTGTTCCAAGATGATCAATGTTATTCACTTCACCCACCAGTGGTTCTAAAGTTTTGGCTAGTCAATGTAATGTAATCAACAGGATTTTGTAGTTAAATCTGCATTACAGGAAACCAATGGAGGGATGCAAGAACAGGTATAATGTGGGACCAACAGCTTTTTCTAATTAATAGCCTGGCAGCTGCATTTTGAATCAACTGTAGATGATTTAGAGCAGCTTGACTGAGGCGCATATTGAGGGGATTGCAGTCATCTAAGCAAGAGAAAATTAAACTGCTAATAAATAGTTCAAGATCCATAGAAGACAAGACACATCTGTTTTTTGCAGTATTTCTCAGCAGAGGGAAACTGGACAGGAAGACGTTGGTATCATGATGGTCAAAAGTCATATACAGGTCAAAGATGATACCAAGATTCTTTGCGATAGGTTTGATATTTGTGACCAGAAATTGATCAACTGCAGTGGCAAAGTTATCAGGACCAATTAAAAGAACGTCTTACAAGTAAAGATTCTAAAAACTCGGACAATCAGATGACCGAGATCTCATTACTCTCAAATGTGAGCTTTTTTTTTCTTTCTTTCTTTTTTTTTTTTTTTTGAGAAGGTCTGTTTTTCTCAACCAAAGCAGAGCGTGACTCCGATATTTTCAGATTTAATCAGACACCTCCAGCAGACAGTACCATGAGATCGTTTTAACGATTGAATTCATGGTTTTTAATCATTCCAGCATGATGGTAAAGCTGTAGGAAAGTTGAGCAAGACAGTGAGGAAGGAGCACAGAGGGCATCAGGGTTGACTCACTCTTAACAAGGCTTTGACAGCAGTAGATTGCTAGCACATACACACACACACAGATCGCCCAAACACTGCCGGTGATCCCAGAGGGCTGCCATGTCAACATGTCAACTGTCAAGTATCATTCCGTTCGTTCCAAACACGCACCACACACGCTCTCTAGACTTACACATGCTGGGCTGCAAAAGTGTGTCACCAGGGTAAAGGGGAGAGGTGGACGAGAGCTGTAACTTTGTGTGTGTGTATGTGTGTGTGTGTGTGTGTGTGTGTGTGTGTGTGTGTGTGTGCGTGCGTGCGCACTCCCATGGGTACTCTGATGCAGTCACACACTCTCTCTCCCTCCCTCTCTCAAAGTCGCGGCAGGATCAGGTGTGAATTTCTGCTCCACTTGTGGTCCCACAGTTTATCCTCTCGCCTACTCTCTCATGAAACGATGTCATATTAATGATCTGTTTCATAAATGATTCCTCGTCCCCTTTTTTTTTTTAGCCTTTCATCCCCTCTCTCCTTTCCCCTCTGTCCTGTTTTTCTCAGTGGCTCCGGGAAATTCCTTTTTTTACAACCTCGGTTTTTGCTCAGCCACTGTTCCTGCCGTTATTATGACAGTTTACTCACTGGTTCCACTGCAGTGATACAACAACAATCCATGTGTTTGAAAGTTTTATATTTCTACATTTTAGTCAGTTACAGTACAGTGCTCAGCTGCTTGCACACCGAAATGTTGTTAAGCCAGACTATTAAGAGGAAAATATTTTGCTTTTAAAGCATGCAGACATTCCTTTGGCTTCCTGTGTGATGATAGCAAAGGATTATTATTACATAAACAGTCCTTGTCTCGTAACAAGTAAATAACATTCAGCACAAAGCAGCACTGAGCACTTCCTGTCCAAAACCTTTGAAAGCAGAACTTAAAGATTCGAAGTTACTTAACCATGTTAAAGCCCATGGCCACTGATTTACTTGAATTTAATTACCTTCTCAGAACTCTTGTTCTGAATGTTCCTCTTTCCACATCTCTTCCATTATGCAAGCCTGACCACAGACAGACGGTGGTTTCACTCTTCTCTCTTTTTCTTTTTACCACAATGAGTTTTTTTTTTCTCAGAGCCAAGTGTTCCTCAGTAGCGCACTTCTGACTGTTCCGTATCTGATGCTTTTTAATCTCACTGCAGTTTTTATCAGACAGTTGCCAGCCGATCATGTCTGCTCTTATTGATCAGTTTCCAGTAAGTTAAAGGAAGCAAACAGGCTTTGCTTTTTCATGCAAATCCCACATTCAGATGATTTTGCATGATGGGAAAACATAAAATCTTAGTTCAAAGAGAAATCACTGAATCTCTTATGCCTCTATATGTGAATTGCCATATTTAAGATCAGATACATACCCAACAAGCCATGGCACTAAATGTTTCTGTTTTCCTTGAGACAGTTGGTGAATGTGGGAACTGAAATCACGTTTATACTAGCCAACGTGTAAATCCAAGGGCGTGCATTTTGTCTGAACAAAATGTCCAGGGGGTTTTGAGGTAGAGATGCACCGATCCAGCTTTTTCAGTTTCGATCCCGATGCTGTGGCTTTCAGTATCAGCTGATACCTGATTATGATCCGATACCATGGTTGACCTAAAAAGCTATATACCTTTACATGTAGAACAGAAAAGACTAGAGGCATCAGGCATTGATGACTACACAGACTACACACACACTATTTATTTTTAACAAAAATAATCAATTGTGCAACAGCAGTTAAAATAGTGTGAAATACCTCCACACAGCAGATTCTCTCTTTCGCTCTATGATGTATGACGTAGCTCGTGTCGCACTAGATTTAAAGGTAAAGGATCGCCTCAGGTATAGGTTGCATTTTCTGATACCCGATCCATCTATTTTGATGATATCAGGGCCAATATTTGATCCAGATATCGGATCAATGCATCCCTATTTTGAGGTCCTTCATTAGAAAATTTTGAGCATCAAACTCTTGATTTCTCTGCATTCTGGTGAATTTATGAACCAATGTATGCATTTTCTTTTGTCAAAATCTTACTCAGGGGGAAATACTACATATATTCTAAATATTAAGAGGGACATGTCACACAAGACCCCGTCCTGAAATCTGCGCCTATGTGTACATGTATTTGTTAATGGTTTTAAAATTCATTCTGCTCTCCACACCCCTGTGTGTACTTTTTCATGTTAAAATTTTCATGCTAACGATGTTTCATATGTGTTTTTTTGGGCCATGTTCCTTGGCTGAATTGCTCAAAAGATGTCAGGCAGCGTTACACGCTTACTGAACAAAGGGTGTAGCTAAATAGATAAATATATGACAAATGCCCACAGGCATGCAGCAGCTTAATTCCTTATACATGTTCCTCCCCATGTGGTTAGAAACATATGAAATAAGGCTGAACATGGATGAATCACGCATGAATCTTAACTTGGTGAAATGTCTCTGTAGCAGTGTGAGGATTTAAATTATGTAGGTGTCTTTAGAGAAGAAAAGGGACTTTTTGTGTGTGAAGAGTTCCAGCGCAAAGCTTCAGTCTTCTACAGAATAGCACAGGGTAATCAGTTCCTCTCTTATTCATGTGTCCTCTCTGTTTCCCCTGTGACCTTTCCCCAAGGAGTCAAAGAGCAGCAATGGGGCGAGGGTGTGATTCAGAGGTCTTTGTGTCAGACTGTCTCTTCCTTCTGCTTTTTTTTTTTTTTTTTTTTTACATTGGGTGACAAATTCTAAATCATGGTGTGTTTTCTGTTCCTCTCTGTAGAAGTCGGATCATGGCCAGGTGTTGCTGGATGCTGTCTTTAAGCACCTGGAGCTGACTGAAAGAGACTACTTTGGCCTGCACTTGGCTGATGACTCCTTAGATGCACCGGTCAGTATGATGTTTTCGATCTATAGGAGAGTGTGTGGTGTGTGTATGTGTGTAAATGAATGAACGTGACAAGTTATGGGATGTTCCAGCCATAAAACACAGCAGCTGGAAGTTGTCTCAACCCAATGTGTGGGTGCAATGACTTCAGACTGTGTTGTATGTACAGTACATGGGGATACATGTGTTTGCTTACAGAAGGACTCTATAGATGCTCTGAATTGGTACCAGTCTCATAAAATCAAATTAGGGGTGGGCAATAAATCGCTATGATGATAGGACACCAGTAGGGATGAAATGGTTACTGGTTTCACGATAAACTGCGGTAAAATTCCAGACAGTCAGTATTACTTATTTAAGTAATGTTACACAAGAGGAAGTACTTTAACGTCACTATCGGCATGACAGTGATGCGGCCAGGACCGAGGTGCTTACGCCGAGGTCACTGAAGGCTATACAACACTTACCAACAAAATAACAGATATAAATGAAACATATTAAGATTGTGTGGCAGTTAGCTCTCAAAATAAATCAGTTTTTGTTCCTGTTATCTTTGTTTTCATGGAAATACATTAGGTCTGACTGATAACTGGAAAACCATCAGTCATGTCAGTAGACGCCCATGTAATGGAACCAAGTAGGCAGACCCTTAGTAACGCCTTAACAACAGAAATAATTCATGTCCCTCTTGAGTCAGCCAGACAACTTGAGCTAACATTAATGCTCTGTAGAGATCATGGGATTTCTCAAACTAAATAAATACCAAAAATGTAAACATAACATTTTATTTAGATAAGATATCTGCAGGAAATCAGGAAAGATTTAGATATTTTGTCAGCAAATTTCACAAGTAGGCTATTTGTAAGATACTGCTGTGTCACTGACTCATCGGCACAGCTGGTGTGATCTGAACTTTTCCAAAAAATGTTTACACCAGAGCATTGAAAAGTCCAACAGTCAAATGTTATAAGAAAGAGATAGATGTAATTATTTGCAAAATAAACAACACTAAGTGCTCTGCTTCGGCCCATATTTGTTGGTGTTTAGCCTTTCAAAACTTTGCTCTCTGACTTTCTTCACACAAGGGGGGCATGTGGTGATAGTTGAAGATAGATGAAGTTTTAAAATGTCAAACACTTCTTGGGAAATGCACAGCTGAGAGCGTTTGAGAGTGCTTTGGAGGCGCAGCCTTTTTTAGCTGATGCATTTAGGTTGCGTCTGGTTGCTATGATACGGAATATCCACACAACGACACAACGTAGAGTACTTGCTTTGGATAAGGGGAAGGCTGACGCTTGAAGGAAAAGAGGACACACCCACTAGTTTTTGTGGGTTCATCAGAGGAAACATAATATGCAGTATATTAACTGATTTTTCCTCCATTGTTTTCGTGTTCAGCGCCTGTACATGTAATATGTGATGGGTTGTTTTTGTGGTATTTGTCCTTCCTCCACTCTGTGATTGCACAGCTGAAGTGACAGTGAAGACTGTGGCGCTTTAACCAAATTTGAACATTGTTCAGCTCTTGGCACTCAGAAAAAAAATGCCCAACGGGCAGCACTCAGTGTAGAATTCATGCCCAGCGCCTTGGTGTGCTACTGGCGTTTGTAGAGCAGCGTAAATATGCGGTGCTTTAAATACAAAGCATTAAAGAAATACGCTGGCCTCAAAAAACAGCTTTGGTAGACGCGGCCCCTGATCATTTTTGTGTTGAATATAGCGTGCTATCATGCTGATTTTCATTCCAAATGTTTAGTTGACCTGATCTGATCAGATCTACTTGCTGTATCCACATTACTATTTATCAGATATCTAATTGTGTAAATATCTTGTAAAAACACCAACAGTCAACCCTCCAATATCTGCACATAGTATGATATTTGATTTTCTCTGTATCAATGAAGTTCATCATGACAGTGTGTAAATAACTATTTAGAATGTATCTTACTGCATGTCACTGTGTTTAGTATATTGATATGTGTTTGTATCCATGTGAACAAAGTCTTTCTGTCAGGTTTGTGTGTATGTGTGTGTGTGGCCAGTGGTGAATAATGTAGGCTGTGTAACCATGCCATGGAAGGTGTCTAAGTGTCTCTCAATCAATATTTTACAGCGCTGGCTCGATCCCAACAAGCCCATCAGGAAACAGTTAAAAAGTAGGTGAAACCCACAACACAACACCTTTACCAACAAGTCCAGGTCATTCCAGGAATCAACACAAAACTGTAAAGCAGAGACAGTTCATTCAAGTCCAACTGGAATCACTTTGAATTTCCCAGCTGTTTGAAGCAGTAGTCTGCAGTCCAGCCCCAGCGAAGGTTAAAAATCCACACTCCACCTCCAGCAAAAGGCTCCTGTCCACACTGTGATTTAAAATTCAGAATTTGCCGTGAGCAACGATTAAACTTCACTTCAACTCTGCTCTTTTTTTGATAATGAGTAATAGAATTTGTAACTTGTAGAACAATTAAGAAGTAGCCCTGGTGAGAAATGCGGTTCTCCTCGAGCAATGATTGAACTGTGTTTCAACTCTGCTTTTACGCTGAGTGATTGGTTCACTGAGGAATAACCACAGGACTTGTGTTTTACACAGAACATTGAGTTAGACTGATGTGTTTGTAGGAATGCAGGCTTGCTTATTTTACGCTTTGAATCATTTATTCTGCTTGTTTATAGCCTGTAACAGTTGGGGGGAAAAAAAGAAATCAGTGTGGAACCTTTTCAGGTGGCTTTTGTAAAACAATCTGCATAGCTGTGAATATACAAACCCAGTTTTAAAGTATAAAACCTTTTGTTGCACTTACATTTTGTGTCATCACACAGATCTGCCATGTTGTGTTGCTCCCCTCTAACTCTTCATCATTGTTTTTCCAGGAGGGTCTCCCCATAACTTGAGCTTCAGAGTCAAATTTTTTGTGACAGACCCCAGCAAACTTCAGGAAGAATACACACGGTAAGAATGTTGGAAGGGTGTGATTTTGGAAAGGTATGCTTCTTGTCGGCCGTTGATATCACCACGTAACACTAGACTGGTGTATCGTACATGATGGAGCCTTTTTGCGCCTTGATTTTATTCCCCACAGTGACTGTTATGTTATGTTAGATACAAGCAATGGTAGGAAGGTCCAAATATGACACTAATGCTGCTCAGTCATATTTATGTTGTTTCATTCAGAAATAGAGAGCAGTGATCTTGGTTATGTCAACGTTTTTATTTCTATATCGTCCAATTGTGGTTCCTCTAGATCTCCGAGAGGCAGTCCAGTGGCAAGGGGGCAGTGGGGGGAGAAGGGGGTGGGGAGTGATATCACAGCACGCCAGTGAAACCAGGAAGTGCAAAGGACAATCATAACATCTTGTATTTGGGATTATTATGTACTGACCTGTTGATTTAAATGTGTAGATATCCATTTTGAGTAAGTCATAAAACCTAAATATGATAATTATGAACTGCCTATGAGTAAATAAACACATTTCTATAATTAAAAAAAAATTATTGCCTCAAAAATCTATCTCAGTAGCAGTAGGAACCAGTAATACTAAAATATTTATCCATTTTCATTAAATAATATATTCTCTGTTTAGCATTTTTAAGTAATTATTGATGTTAGACTTTACTTTGGATCAAATATTTTGAATAACTGTTTTGAGCATGAAATGATCAAACCTTTAAGCTATCTGCAAGCAATGCAGCTAAAGTTACTTGACAAAGCATTTACGGACTAAAAGAATGTTAAAATTTGATTCCTCTTTTCAAGCAATAGTGTCTTTGCTTGGTGTAACAATATCACAGCATCATGTTCCCTTTAACATCATTAGCTTGTCTTTAATACAACAATCCAAATCATATCCGTAATGTTAATTGCTCTAATGGAGTGCAGAGCACAGTTCTGGTGAGCAGGCATATGGAGAGTGGAGATGAGGGGTGTCAGATTCATGGAAAGGAGACGGTAAAGGGCTTTGTAATTCACTCATCAGTCTAGCTGATTAACGGGGTTCAGCGGGCGGACACACCACTCCACCACAACCGTCTCTAAATGACAGATAAAATCACAGTAAGGCGCAGATTCTAGATCGTTGTTTTAGCGTCTTAGTTCTGATTTAAGCCTAATCTCAGTGAGCAGGAGGTTGGCCATGGTGTCTTTTTCCAATTTATTTCTTGTCATATTCACTCTCAAAGATCTCCGCCAGCATCAGAAACATGTAGGAGGCACATGGCAACTACAGTGCAGCCATCAGCGTAGCTTCTAACCCTACTATCCACGTAGATTCATATATACTTAACACCCAGTAACGTACATGTAGAATGATTTTACAGCAGATGTATCATCAGATTAAACTGCTGGCTACCTGTTACTTATGGGGAAAAATTGGTTCATTTACCAAGAGTAGACACACAGCTGCCAACGGGGTACGTAATGTCCCAGATCTTATCATGCAAGAAGGAACATATTGTATTATATTGTATAAAAAGTAAAGGTATTCCCCTCATGTGGATCTTAAGTAAACAGGGTAATGATATAAAAAACTGGTTTTATGAAAAGAGCTTTTGGGATCCAATAATTGCAAATGGTTTCCCAGCACTCTCTCACTGATGCAGGCTCATTAAAGAAAACAAGAAACCAGAATGTTTTGTATCGAGGCCGTAATTTGGACTCCAACCCACAGTTCTGTAAACATAAGGTCTGCAACAGTGCGTTCTACATAAACAACATGCAGAGGAGGCTTCACAGCGCCATGACGCCTTTTTCCCGCCTGGTGTTTATTTCAGCCTCTCAGCCATGGCTTCGCTCCCTGAGCCTAAATATCAACACTTTTTTTATACAGCTCGTAACACTGAGCCGGCTCTGGTGCAGTGTACACTCACGTCATGACCAAAACACACTCCTGACAGCTCTGTCGGACTATGTTTATGACAGCGGTGTGTGGTACATGGCAACACCGGGCTAAACACTGATACCAAGAGCTTGGATGAGGAAAGGCTCCTAAAAATATTGCCAGTAGTAGGATGATATTTTCAGTCCTCCTTAGTTCAGTATAACTAACTTTCCCTTCTTAAAGGCACTTGCATCAGTTCATGTATACAGTATATATTGTTTACATCATAATCTGACCAGCAGACATCAGCTCCCTGCTGTCTTTACATCATATTGTAATCAGTTTAACCAGAGGTCATGGTGAACTGGTCTGTTGTTCTAATGCTGTGTGTTGTTTCCCCCATAGGTACCAATATTATCTTCAAATCAAGCAGGATATAGTAACTGGAAGGTGAGTACATCATTCTTTGAATATTTTTTATTGTTACTTTAATTACTTTACTTCAGTTTTGCCTCATAAAGAGGTGCTGTAATATATTTATTATCATTGCATTAGCATTGTTTGTAGTAGAGATCATCAGTGGATTTAAATTCTGCCAAGAGGTAATAGCTAATGCAACATTCTTTGACTAAAGTTAAGTCTTAGCTATGTAGCTTTAAGACTGTTGCCTGAAGTTTGCTGATGTTTGCTGGGTACATAGCGGAACTTACAAAGGTCAGCAATACAAGTGCTTTTGGAATATATATATATACTATTGGGGTGTTCATTGCACCACACTCTCAGAGCACTGAGCGTACTCTGGGCACAGACGGAGCAGCAGAATGCCAGGCACAGTGAAAGTGAAAATTAACTGTACATTGTGTTGGGTCTAAAAGTTTGCTTTCACTTGCCACTGTGGCAGCTGCTCCTGTCATCCATCAATCTGACTGGATTAACTCTGATCGTATCGACTAATCAATTATCCACCCTGCGACTCAAACGCTACAAACTGTTGTGTTCACAAAAATTGGCAATACGATTCCAATTTATTCGTTATTGTCAGCCTTTTTTTCCCCCAGCAACTCAGAATCAAAGAATAAAATACTTGGCCTCAAAAATTAATTTGATTGCTTATTTTTAATTTACAGTGAACAAAGTTAGCATATTTTATACTTGAATGTAAGTCTGTAAATCTTATTTCCATATATGTATTTGTATACTCTGTCCTAGCATGTAATTCACATTTAGTTACATGTGTATACTGGGCTGTTTCAATGCACTTACCATAAAGTTTGTCCAAGGAGGTGTAAGTGATGGCTTGATTGCAGTCTTTTACTCTTCCATCTCGCTCTGGTGCTTCTTGGGTGGTCCAGAGGCAGCATCTAATATCTCTACATCACCTCCACCGTCAGGTTGATGGTGTTCGGTCTCTATCAAAGCACTTAAATTAACTGCGTCTTGCTACAGCTTGGCATGCTACAACTAAAGCGAATAATGGGCAGTCTTTGAAAAATCAACAACTATGAAAAGATAGACAACATTCTTATGCAGAAATAACACCACAATATTCATAAACTCCTGATGGGTTTATTTCTTAATATTTATATATATATATATAAATATTATATATAATATAAATATTATATATATATAGTATTTATTATTGAAAAAAACAAAACAGATGAATAAAATCCATAACACATTTGTCAGAGAGGGTGAAATACACCCAACATGTTCTTTGATGTTTTTGTCCCTCGTTTTTAAAATAAAATAAATAATGTTGATGCTTTACATTTCTATATTACCGTTATTACCAAAGATGAGTAATATCTGCTATTTCAATTTGTATCGATCCAATGCTAAATATCTGTATTTCTTTTTTTTTGTTTGTGTTTGTGTGTGTGTGTGTGTGTGTGTGTGTGTGTGTATGTATGTTCCTGTGGCTCCCAGATTGCCCTGTCCACACAACACAGCTGCACTGCTGGCGTCCTATTCTGTTCAATGTAAGTAGTGCTCCCTGGATACATCCACTCTATATAACAACGGAAAGGCAATTCATTAGGCCTCTCTTTAGCTACACGCACTGTTAAATGTAATGACTGTGGTTGCTCCAGTGCATTTATAGCTGGTGCTCTGAAGCCATTATGATTCAATTAAGCCGTGTGGTGATATCTGATATTATTTGCAGGGTTATGAATATTCAATGCGATTGTGGTTTGTTTTATTTACATTTGGGACTGGTAAAAAAAAAAAAAAAGGACTCATTATTGTACAAAAACGGTACAGTGGCAAATGGAAATGGGCTGTTGTGATTTAGCATTAGGGTTAAAGGCTGACTGGGCCCCTCGGTCATCTGAATAATGACTGGTGACACACTGGTCTGTCTCTTTCTCTTTTACTGCTGCTCATTGTTTTCACGCAGCCTGTTTTGCCCTCTGTCTGTTTCTTTCTTTTATCTCTGTTTAGTCTGTCTCATCCCTCTCTGCTTATCCCTTTTTTTTTTTTTCCACACTCACAAACCCCACTCTCTTACGCCCCCCCCTCCCCCTCCGCTCTCCACCTCTCTGGCATATTTTGTGGGGAATTTGCACTGCTACAGTATATAGGTCAGAGAAGAGATTTGGCCCTAGACTACCAACATCATGACACTACTGCTTTTACCCACGCACACACACACACACACTCCATGTTGTCACTTCACTTGGTGGCAGCCCAGATTATGAAGATAAATGTTTTGCTTTGGGTAAAAACGGCTTGAAGCAGCTGCTATGCTGCTAATTCAGTTAGCTTGGCCGGCGCTGATCACCCTGAATTCCACACTTAAGCTTGCACTCTCAAAATCCCTCCCAGTAGACCTTAATTCTTGTTTAGAATTCAAATTCTGTTAGAAAACCATAGCAACTCCTTCCTCGGAAAAAAGGCAATCTGGTTAAAAAAAAAAAAAAAAAGTCTTGGAATAACACAATTTTGTTTGTTCATTTCAAAGCAGTAGTTAAGGCTGTTGCATTCAGTGTTTCCATTGCTAATGTATTCATACTGACAGTGGTGTGTATCAGGGGAGGAAACATACGGTCAGCTCTTCTGTCAAATGTTAATAAAGCGAAGGCACACATGCATGCTTACACACTTGGCCTAAATTACCCACGATGCATGTAAATCCATCATCACAAATGGAGAGTTGAATGTCTTGTTTGTGCTTTGTCTGGTCAATAGCATCATTACAAGGAGCCTGAGCTGGAGCCAGTATGGATTTCACATCAATAGATGACTATATAAAGAGAGATCAGGTTGTCAGCTGGTCTTTGAGCTTCATTGGCCTTAGCATTGAGGCTTGTTAAAGTAATAACTGCAGCATAAAGTCAAACCAACATTAGCCTACTGTTCTAAAACCTAAGCTATTGACTGTACATATATTCCTCCCTGGAGCTGTGCGCACATCAATAAGTGGGTGAGCTTGAATTGATTGGTTGGTCAATATGCTTAGGCTACCAGCTACTAGGTTGGTCCAGGGACCACTTGAGTGAATTGATGCTTTTGAGCTTCAACTGCTAGCTGGTGAGCTAATGGCTTTGGGGATTCACTTTGAGCTCCGTCTCTCAGAGGACTCTGAAAGCTAATAGGTGTGGAAATCATTTCACTCTTTATCTTTCCGTCTGATACCTAAAATCACTTCTGTCTTCATCATTGAGTAAAAACAGCTTTATTTTTATTTTGAGCCACATTTAAATCAGGGTTTGCACAAGGTGGGGTTTTTTTTATTATTTTTGGGCTTTTTGCCTTCATTAGATAGGACAGTCTGAGTGTGAAGGGGGGAGAGAGGGAGAAGGGATGACATGCAGCAAAGGGCCACAGGAATTGAACCTGCAGCCGCTGCGGCCAGGACATTGCCTATGTATATAGGGAGCCTGCTCTACCCACTAAGCCACTGAGTGCCTCAAAGTGCTTGAATCTTAAGGGGAAAAATATGAAGTACTACCTTGAAGTACCTTGAAAATAGCCTCTTTTTCAAACAAGTGCTCAAAAAGTCCTTGGAATTCAAATGAACCGTATAACATTGTCTTATATTTTAACCAAAGTTTTGTTCATCAGGTAATTATAATTAAATTGCTAAGAATTGGGAATTGCTCAGCTTTTTCTGTATTGAATTCTGACTCGTCACCCTCTCAATGGCGTTGCATTCTCAAAGTGTGGAAAAGTGGTGCATTATAGTATTATGAGCACCTTGGCTCTCATGACATTTAAATCTTGTTTTTTTTTTTTTTTTTGAGGGTTTAATACAGTTATGTTTAAAAAGAGTTAGATTAGTAACCCTTCAATGAAAAGGGAGGTGTTGATCACATAATTTATATTTAATATATATTTGAAAATGAATTATTTGCTTTGAGTGTAGTCCTTGAATTAAAAAATATACTCTAATAAGTACTTTAAAGTCCTAGAATTGAATTTTGTAACATCAGTATGAAAACATTGATGTGAAAAGAGCCAAGACACAGTTGATCTGTACTTGCCTTTTAGTTTTTGACATGTAGTTTATCAGGGAAGACCAGCTTGGTATAAGTTGACACCGTAAGGGTTCTTGGCTGGTCTGTTCATATGATAATAAAAGGGTTGCACCTCTTTCAGCTCTGTTGATAATCTGTAAGGACATAGTAACACAAACAATCAAATGATAACACACGTGCGTACAACAGCACATTTAAAAACTAACATGATTTTCATACATACTTTTTCAATAAAAGGGGATTGTCAGAGACTGAGAAATTTGCAGTTAAGGTGTAAAGATTTTTCACCATTATTATTGTTGTGTTGTCTTCCTTTGTAAACAAACACAGACCACAAAGTAAATAAGAGGGCAGAATGATTGAAAAGTGAGAGATGAGTGAGTGAGAAGGTCAATTAATAAGTGCAAATTTAACCTATGATCATGACAGAAATATTTCTGTATGCCACTGGTTTGCTGCTATTCTTTTAATAATGAGCCACAGCGTATAAATGCTCATATCCTGAATGTGTCTGGCATGGAGATGGTCACGACCAGCAGTGGCTAAACCGGTTTCTTTAATAGGCCATTTAGGCAGTAAAAACATATTTTTGAGGATCTACAACAAGTACGCTTCCAGATCAAGGACAGAAGATGGCACATTTGTTTTTAATATTTAACTATTTGACACTACTAGTTTGTTTTTCACATGTTCCAGGACTGGTCTCTTTATTTATGGAAAATAAGATCTGACAGAAATGCCACATGTTGTTATTAAATGTCAGGATTGTATGATATGATTTTTTTTTATTGTGGGTAACATTTTCAGCTTCTCCAGTGAATCCTGTGTCACAATAATTTTTCAAAAAGGATTATTACAAAGCGTACCTGTGCACATTCAGCGTGGACCTCTCAGTCATCCTTGTTGTCTCATTATCTGTGTCTTTCCTCCTTTCTGCAAGCATCAGTGCGCTGACATTATATCAATCTCTCTCTCTGTGTAGCCGAGCTGGGGGACTACAGTGAAACGGAGCATACAGCAGGTTATCTGTCGGAGTACTGCTTCTTGCCCAACCCCCCTCAAGACTTCCACAAAGAGGTCGCCAAACATCACCAGCAGCACAGGTATGCCGAGATACATAAAACCAAGCACAGTGCGCATCCCACACACATTGAAATGCATGTGAAAACACAAAGAAAGTGACATATTCAACTGTGCATGTGGCAGTGAAATCACTAAAAAATGAATTGAATACCCAGCCTTGAACAGATGACTGTATCTTCAGATAAAAAGTCGCTCTCTGAGAGCCTTTTGTTGCTATGAAAGTAATTAATCTTTGCCATCAGTCCTCATATTGAGCACCGAGAAAAGAGTGAAAACTCACTACTTCACATACTTTCAGGTGCGCTGCCACAGTTTATCTGCTGTTACTTCATTCATACCTCTGATCGCCCATTTCTTTTGTTTCTTTTTTACCCCCCCTCCCTTTCTCTTCTCCTCCTCCATATGTCTCATTAACACACACACTCTCTTTCTCTACCTACCCTGTCATCACCACTCCCTTTGCTCTGACACACAACCTCCCATCCCCATCTGTCTTTGTACCCATCCCTTTCTCTCTGTCTCGCAGTGGTCTATCTCCTGCCCAGTCAGAGTTTAATTATCTGAACACAGCACGCACGCTGGAGCTCTACGGGGTAGAGCTGCACTATGCAAGGGTAAGTAAGGTTTTACTCTGTGACTGCTGTGTGTTTTGTTGCATGCGTTAAAGACTGCTGTAGATACGGTTTGTTTGTTTCTGTGTTGCTGTTTGTCCAGTGCCACATTTAGACATGTCAGTGTATCTGTGATCCCTCTCTGGCCCTCTCTCTCCTTTCTTTCCCTGAGTGATACAAGATGGCTTAGTCCATTTCCACATTTAACCAGTGGTCTGAGAATGTATATATAAAGTCCCAATCTGTGCCCCACATGGTTGATTCAAAGCTGTTTTCATTCCATCAGCAGCTGAGGAGGAATGAGAACAGGTTGGAGGAGCTGCAGTGTGTACAGTCAATGTCGATGCCCACATCCTGTAGAAATGCCACACATTGGCATTCAGCTCTCACTGTGACGGCAGCAGATAGTAGCAGAGTAGCCAAGTCGGCATTTAGATTGATTTCTTTCATATACAGTATTTCTGTTGGGTTGATGTGTAGAAAACATTGCACAGATCTCAGCTATTACCTATCTAATCTACTCTGGCTAATGTGCTACAGTAAAAGCTGAACTTTCACCTCAGCTGCTGAAGGCATCAGAAGTAGGTCGCACCGACTATTGTGTCACCGTGGAGTGGAAATTGTATTTGAACCCTTTTATGGATTGGGACTTAAACTTGGTTTCAGATGTAGACAGGCGTTAAAGAGAGTTGTTGTCAAACTTACTGACAGTAAACCTGCTCACATGCCATGAGGTGATTTATTTTGAGGTCAGAAAGTGATTATTTAAAATCAAATAAGCATTGCGTGCATCATTTGGTTGGGGAATAACCTTGGTTTTTATGTAACTATGGAATAATGAAAAGAGAAACTGTCAGCCATTCCTGGGGTCACCAGCTAGAAACCTTTGTCATGAACAAAATATGCCATTCTGAGGCATTAACAATCACCGGGCTTGTTCATTTTGGGCTATTTATGATTATTGATCAAAACTTTAAGAAAATCAATTTTACCGTCCTCATACAGCAGCACAAGACAAACATGTTTCAGCACTCTGTCATCATCAGTATCACATTGCGCATGCAGGATGTTCAGTGCAGCGTTGTATAAAATTACATTGCTAAATTAGATAATCAATTAGGACCAATGTCAAAACATGTTGGAAGGTCTTCTCTAATTTACTGTAGATGTTCATTGGACCCTGGCCTGACCCCATCCTCACATATGCTGTTCTTGTCCCACACAGATTCTTATTTCCATCTGTGTGGGTTTCTCTCATTAACCTCTACTCTTAGTTTGAGGCAGGTGGACCCAGCGGCTGGTCTCTTTTCAGCAACTGCTACTTGTTTTGTAACAGTGAGGAAGCCTGTCTTTTTTTTCCTGTTGTGTCTTTGTTTGGCTGCGCTTCACTACACACACACACACACACACACACACACACACACTCCTTCACACACTCCGTTCTCTCTTCAGGACCAGAGCAACACAGAGATTCTTATCGGGGTGATGTCTGCCGGCATTGTGATTTACAAGAACAGAGTACGGATCAACTACTTCCCATGGTGAGTGACACACACAGACACACACACAAAGCATAAGATTATACATGTCATTAAGTGTTCAGATCCATTACCAGAGTGTTGCTGCAAGAATTAACCACAGCCGCATTTCTAAACTAGTGAGTTACTGTAATAAAATAAGACTAATGAAAAGTCGAAAAATAGATCTAAGCAAGTGGGAAAAGGCAGTTTTATGATGGGATGTGTATAGTGTTTTGATGAGAGATTGCTGTCAAAGATTACTTCAAGGTTTTAAATATGTGGGGAGGAAGACAGTGAGGTTGTTGATGGTGAGGCAGAAGTTGTGGGTGGTTTTAGTGAGAAATCTGGGACCAGTGATAATCATATCAGATTTGTCACAGTCCACTTTTAGATAGTTGGCTTGCATCCATGGTTTAATTTCAGTGAGGCAGTTGGTCAGGGTGGAGTGAGTTGCAGTGGAAATGGATTCAGTGGATGTGTAATCATCAGCACAACAGTGGAAGTGGAGGCCTTGAAAACAAATAAATTCATAGAGAGGGAGCAGGATGAACAGGAGAGGACCAAATAAAGAACCCTGTGGGATGCCTTGGAACTAAAGGGCAGTTGGAGAGTAGTTTAAGAAAAACTTGGATTCTACTTTCCCATGTTTTTGTTACTAAGTCACTAATGGAGAAAACAATTTTTTAAATTAGTCGAGTATTGAGAGAGACAGCTACAACTGCAGCAGCAAAACAGGCTGCAGTGTAATCCCTTCGGGCAATGGTGCACCATTAATTTCCATTCACTAAAGCCCCGTTTCCACCAAGCAGTACAGTACGGTTTAGTTCAGTTCGGGACGCTTGTTCTTCCGTTTCCACTGTAAAAAGTTGTGGATGGTACCAATGGAACCGTTCCGTACCGTCCCCATTTTTGGTCACCCCTCTGCTGGGGTACCTAGCACACAGATATGGTACTAAAAGGTGGAGCTGTGAATACTGCAGTCCATTCATTGGTCAATAGCGAATGGTCATTCTGCTCAGTGCTGAGTTGTGGCTGGTTTTGAAGCTCATGTAACCAAATTAAACTTAACTTAAATTCACTGGGCCAACTGCTGGAGACTTTTAAGGTGGAACGCTACCTTGTAATGTTACTCAATGCATGAGCTGATGACGTGAATCAATCAACACACCTTAAATTTCACTGCAACAACTTTGACCATTACCTAAGTTAATTGTCAAGTATTTGTTTATATTAATTTTGACCGGGATGGCATATATGCTAATCCTCACTCTGCAAAGAAAAAAGCGCCACTGAATGTTGTTCCTGTGGGCTCCAGCAACACTAAACCCCTGAGCTTGCCTGAGAAGGGCTAAATGCACAAACCTGCTATCTTTAAGTATCTCATTGAGAAAGACTCTCACTGCAGCCTGTTTTATTTTGTTCTGAAAATGTCGGCAAGCAGCCTCGTTCTGTGGATGATAAACGAGGTGCAGACTTCCCTGTGTCACCGGTGATGAAGAAATACAGTTAGTGCTGGACGGAGCAGTGAGTGACAACAACCCCGACGACATTTTAGAGTACTGTTTGTGGTAGAAATGCTAAGCAGACATAGGGTCTAGGTACCATGTCTGAAGGGTTACTTTTGGTTCCAGAGGTACCATATCGAAAATGTTTGGTGGAAACGTGGCTTGAAAGTGCTTGTTTTGCCACCGACAAGCTCAGATTGTTATTGTAAGCTTTTGACAACACTACGTAAAGCATCCTCCAAAGAAATGAAACATTGTTCCTTACCTTTTGCTGATCTGTTATTGTGACCAAGTATCCCTCAAGGAGAAGCCTCATTTTGAAATCTTGCGAGAGGTGACTTGTTGCAGGAAAAACAACTGGAAATGTGAGAAGGATGAGTGCTGGACCAGGGAGTGTTTGTTGTGTTGAAGTACAGAAAGCCTAGCTTAGTGTGAGCTAAAGAACATAACAAGACTTGTCCTTGAGCAAGACTTGGTTATACACAGACAAGTTCAAGGAAAGGTAAGGGAAAACATTTCATTTCTCTGCAGGGTCTTTTCTGTAATGTTGTCAGACACTTACTATAACAATCTAAACCCGTCAGTGGCGAAAACACGCACTTTTAATGGACTTAATGGACTGTAGTTTAAATTAGTATGCAAGTGGGCAGATTCCTCTGTGTGTTGGTTGTAGGGCAAAATATAAAAAGAAAGAGAGATAAAACATAACATACATGCTGTAAATCAGTGGGAGACCTGAAAGAAGCTGGTGATCAGAAGTTTGAGTTACACCTGCTGGAAGCCAAAAGCAAGGTAGCGGAAAACCAACAGTGAAGCGACTCTGTGGCCAACAGCAGAAAACCTGGCAGCTCTCAGGTGTGAATGAGTGGAGCTGTGGCTGAAAAACAGAGAACTGCTAGAAAAAAAGGAACAAGCTCTCCCCATTGATATTTTCATAGTGAAAACACATTCACTATCAGCAGCTCCACTGGAACAGTCGAATCTCTGCCACTTTGCTTTCTGTGGTCCGAGCAGTAATTGCTGACAAGACTCGAGAGTGCGTCCTGATCTGGGGAATCAAACTGTGGATGTTCTTGACACAAACACACCTCTCTGTCCATCAACTAGCTGCCAGCTCCACTTGAACCACATCCAGGAAGCCTTTTTGCTGAGAAATGTGCTTCGCAATATTTTGGAAACCTCTCACATAGTGATTATTGACACAACATATTAACGTGTAAGCCTTAGTTGATCTTTTTTAGAATTATGCAGATGATTCCAACAGACTTGTCTAATGGGGAGAGCTTCGTGTTAAACTAGGTTTCCTGGAAATATTATAGGCATCAAATCGGCTCGCTCTCCTTTTCTCTTTGTCCTCTTTTCACCTCTCTCTGTCTAATTCACTTACTCGCATCACTCTTTATGTCTCTTGCTCTTGTTCTCTCTCCAAAGCATTGATTCTTGGAAATCTCCCATCCTCTGCTGCTGCACTGTGGGAGGCTAAATGTTAATGGGTGCCGGGGGTGGGATAGTAACTACTCAAATCCCTGTAACTCCGGAAGATAATTCACTCGTGTGTAGGCTTAACACACACACACGAACACACACCCTGACCAAATGCACATAGCAGCTGGTGTGTATGCATGTGTGTGAATGTCTGACAGCAGTAAGATGTTTGTGATGAGATGAGTGTTCACTCATGTAAGGCTCATGTTTTGTATTACTGACATTGTGGGGACCGGAATAATAAATCTGAGGACTCGCCTCCCATTTGGGGACAAAATCCAAACCATGAAATTTTTCGGTACAGACTTGGTTTCTGGTTAGGGTTAGGATGAGTCTCCGTGGAATGAATGTAAATCAATGCAAAGTCCTCCTTAGTGGAGGGGAAAAAAAACAGTTTTGCGTGCGTGTGTGTCTGCATATCCAGCCAGTTGGGCTAAATTTAGACCAACAGTGGTGTCCCCAACAGCTGTCCACTACCATTTGTGAGAAGGAGAGAGGGACACAAGAGTCTCTCAGCCCTCTGCTCTCTGATTCTCTTCTCTCTCTCCTTCGTGTTTTCTTTCCTTATCCTCTCTTAAACAAAGGCTCACTGTCTCTACACATTCTTGATCCCTGTCACTTCTCACAGTGTCTCTCCTCTCCTCTGCACTCGTCATTGTTCCTCTCTTGTCATAAATTAAACAGTAGGATACAGTAGGGAACGGTCAAGAGAGAAAGACATTTAGATTTTTGCCTCCTTCCTATTTCTGTTCACAGCAGCCTGACAAATGAGCCACACTTAGCTGGGGCATGACTCACACTCTGCCCAAGCATGTGTGTGTGTGTGTGTTTGTCCATGCAAGAGTGTGTGAGTAAGTATGTAAAATATATTTAGCAGGGAGCGATGAGTCACAGCAGCAACAGAGCTCTAGGAAGGGATTATGTTACTCTGCTGCTGCTCATCAGCAGACCTCTTACTGTGGCAGCGCGTGTGTGGTCTTTTGATTCGATTATTATTTTATACCATTTCTGCCTCTTTAAATGCGTGACGACACACAAGTAGATGGGGAAAGGTGGACATCATGGAACTATTGGGAGACTCAAGTGTGGTCATGCTCTTAGCATCCAGCTTTGGAAGGAGGAATGGGTGGAGTTAAATGGGATGCGACACATGGGGAATTGAAGCGCGTGCATTTCAATTTCACTTATCGATTCTTGAAAGTGAAGTTTGGACATACCGTGCTTCTATCTACACTGCCAGTTATGATTGTGTTAACTCTGTATAGTGCCTAGAATATGGTGGACTGGAGCAGGTGTGTGCGAGTATAGCTAAGCTTCAACTTTTGCATGGAAAAACGAAAAATACTATTATTTTATAGTGTATTTTACCATTTCAGATACCACTGATATGCCAGAGGGTCAGTTTTTGAGACTCTTACAAATTTATTTTAAATTCCAGTTTTCATCCCAAGGTTTCCAAACATACCAAATACGCCTAGCGTGGTGTCAGACCTTTGAATAGCAGCCCAGAAATCTGTCGATGTCTTGAAGCGATTCAAATGTGTGTGGTGTTCTGCTCACACAATAAGACTGTATATCTAAAAATCAGTATTAATTGTTATATTAGTACAGTTACCATTGGATATTATCACAATAGCTGGCCATGGCAATTAGGAGAAGCATCTGTCAGCTAACACAATGAAATTAAACAGCAGTGATGATTATGTAAAACATAAGGTATGACACTGCTTGACTCCATCACATGACACTTCTTCTTCTGCACTTTTTTTTTGTTACTGTATTTTTTTTAAATGGTTATTGAAATTGCCTGTACTTTAAAGTTAAAAAAAACCATCAAAATGCTGTTTAATTTCACCATTTTTTTAGCATTATCAAAATTACATTTTATACTATGGTAATTTTGTTTAAGATTGTTATGATGTTTTGTATTAGTTCATACCTACTACTGATATTTTTCAAAGCACGATGACTGACCTGAAGTGTGTAAATCTAATATCAGTGTCTCAATACAGGTGATAGGCTCATTAGCCATGGCAACATTAACTCCTCTTTTGCATTGTTTTATCTTTTTTTTACAGGTTGAAAATAGTGAAAATCTCCTTCAAGTGCAAACAGTTCTTCGTCCAGCTAAGAAGAGAGGTGGTACGTGTACACACACACACACACACACGAAACACACGCACGCACACTTCTTCACCACCACCTCCCCTCTGCAATTGTGTCCTTTGCACAAATGAAGGAGATGAAGTTTACCATGTGTGTTTGCATGTTTTTTTTCTGTACATACTGACCTGTATTATTGTGTGTATATATACTGTAGATGCTAGCTGAGCTGTGTCTGCATATGTGTGTGTAATCAATGTCAGATTAACCCCCTGCTGCCTGTGTCCTAGTTGACTCTGCTCTAATCCCCCACTGTGTCCTGCATCCCTTGTTTGACACGTGGATCTCTTCTTTTTATTCTCAGTGTAACAAACAATTGTTCAGACAGATGATCTGCCACTGTCACAGTGACTTGATGAATATTTCCACTACAAATAGTTGCATAGTGCTCATTCATCCATCTTACAATACTTTTAAATTTAAAGCCCTTATTTTTTTATGTAGAAAGGTGAATTTTTGCTGAGATTTAAATGATACACTTCTTTGATTTTCCTTTTTTTCTCTCGCATTACTTGTCTTGTACTCCTCCCTGAATGCGTCTAGAGAGCTGCATATATATTTGTGTCTGCACACTTGCTTTTGACTGTTACAGTGAAGGCTAAAGTGTTATTTAACAGCCCACTGACTGTTGTCTCTCCCTCTCTGCACACAGACTGAGACGCGGGAAACGCTGCTGGGTTTCAACATGGTGAACTATCGGGCCTGTAAAAACCTGTGGAAGGCCTGCGTGGAGCACCACACCTTCTTCAGACTGGATCGGCCCATCCCACCACAGAAGAACTTTTTCGCTCACTACTTCACTCTGGGCTCGAAGTTCAGATACTGGTGAGAACAAGTTGACTTACACACACTCCCGTAGGAACATGGAAGGAACACTCCACTGGGCAACACAGATAACTTCTGAAAAGCCTTCCCTACTCAGCCAGACGTTGACAGATTGACACATACACACACTTATTCAGACACACAGACATGGACCAGGATGCTCTGCCCGTATTTTGTTCTCTCTTACTCCCACCTTAGGGAAACATCAACCGAAGTACATGTTTGTTTGGAAGTTGATGCAGCTGATTCACTTTGGGTTGAGAGGCTGAAACACTGGTAGGCTAGTGGGTGCTTCTCATGCTGTTTTCACCCAGAAAACCACAGCTTAATTATTCATTATTTTTATTCATGGAAAAATTGGAAAAAGGGACTGAAACATCAAAATAAAATCACTCATACAAACATTTTACTCAGCACTGTATTAGGCCTTGTCACAACTCGTTTCACTTCATCTGTAGCTTTTTTATTTCCTTTTCTATGAAGTGTGAGTGACAGATGAACTGAGAGATGGAGGCCTTGTGATGCATTATTGAGCAGCAGTGATGCAACCCCAGCAAGCCTTGTTCTGATGTTTGGCTTGACTGTGTGTGTGTGCTTTCTCTCTTAAGATATTTACTGATTTTCCAGTCAGGTTACATTTTTAAATTGCGAATTTGGGTTGTTAACATGTCATTAACAGTGTATCATACAGTAAAATAGCTGTATTAAATATGTTGCATTTGTTACTGGCTAGCAGACTGCATTTTAAGGCAGAATTTTCATGAAGGAAAAAGGGCAAAAAAGCAAGCTGTAGCTTCAGAAAACTTTTTCTAACCTTGCTAAACCCAAGAGTTAAAGATTTTCAGTCTCACTCCAGTTAAAGTTTGATTTTCCAAGACAGTGCACTGACTCTTACTGTTGTTGTTTCTAGCGGGCGGACAGAGGTGCAGTCTGTGCAGTATGGAAAGGAGAAAGGCATCAAGGACAGAGTGTTTGCCAGGTAATCAACATGTCTTACTCGGTTGGTTCAATCCAGCCATCACAAGCTTCTAATGCCAGATTAACACGACAGGAACTAGAGTTATTGCTTTTGTTGCCAAATGAATGCCTTGTTCTGCGCAGATCTCCCAGCAAGCCATTGGCCAGGAAGTTGGTTGGCGGAACTGACTGGGAGTCGGTCAGCAGGAACAGCCTATCAGATGAGAGACTGGAGACCCAGAGCTTGCCCACTCGCTCGCCGCCTGGGACGCCCAATCAGTGAGTCCAAATTTCAGGGTTTATACCAGGCTGAATTGCAGTTCAGCTTCATGGCAGACGATTGTTGCAGTGGAAATTAAAATATAATCACATTCCACATGGTGAGGAATTTTTAAAACAACTGCTTTGACAGCAAACAAATTACACAAATTAAGTTAATTCGGTTAAAAGGGAAGGTATAGGTATAGGTATAGTTTTTAGCACAACTACAGTGATTTTTTTAATTAATGTTTCTAGAGAAAATGCAAATATTGTGAGTGGTAAGTCACTGTAGTCTGTAGCTACTGTTATTAGGAAAAGGTTACCTTGCTTATTTTAGTGGACAATAAGGTCTGCCTTGTGTAAAAGAGACCATTTTTGAGATAAGGAGTAATTTCAGGACTGTATTGACCTTGGATTTATGCTGTAGAAGTGTCCTTGAGCAAGTCTCTGAAGCCCAACCATGACCTCTGACCTGTGACCTGTGAAAAAAATCAATAGAACATTGCATAATTTCAAGTCTTTTCTCAGTCAGTTCCTGCGGTTTGCATTAATCAGGTATCATTTGAAATTTAGTGTCAGTTTGGTGTCAGAGTTTGTGCATCAATACCACGATAATATTTAGCTTCACAAGAAGTTTGCCGAGATAAAATGCACTCTAAAATGATTTAATTCATACACTGCCTGATTTAAGAAAAAGTAAATAAGAGTACAGTTCTTAGCACACAAAGTATGCTAGCTTTCCGGTGCTTCAGTGTTTGATACCTGAAGCAATGGACACATTTTTAACATTACGTGTCTTTGTCCGTCAGGAACTCACTGTTTGTACAAGAGGGCACGCGACTACGCCCGTCGTCAGTTGGCCACCTGGTCGATCATGTGATCCACGCTTCACCCAGCCTACCTGTCTTCTCCTCCTCCAATCACAAATCAGCATCGTCAACGCAGGCCAACAGCATCAGCTTGGACTCCACACCGTAAGTCTCGTTCCTGTCAGACGCTGTCAGGAGAACGTCGTCAATATCGTTCTTTTTTTCCAAGAATGATTTTGGTTCTTTCCTTCCTTTGATCCGTCTTCTTGTTTTTGATGCACGCACACTTCCTTTAAAGCTGTTTGTCTTTGGGGGAAAAAACACCAACCTTTGACTCAGTGGCAGGGAATAGATTTCACTGTAAATGAACTGCCTTATAAATAAAACAGCCGCCCTTTAATTTTGAAGTTTAATTTTACTCATCAGTGTTAGTGCCACTCTGTCTGACTGCACTGCTGAGTTGACTGGTTTTTTAAATGTCTGTCTGTGCCTGTGGCTTCTCTCAACAGTTCACACCCTCTCCCACTGTCACTTAACCGGCCCCATTGAAAGATGAACCCTTTGAAAAACAGCCTGTAAAAATGTGTTTATAGCGGGGAGCAGGGCGGAGAGGTTATACAACAGAGCTGAACTAGGAATTAGTGTGTGTGTGCGTGTGTTTGTGTGTTTTTGGCATGTCCTTATTGTGCTCACACACTATAAAATATCTGGTGAATTTCATGAACTAATAAAGTTCCACATTTCTGTTTGAAAGCCTGAAAGCCTCTGAGTTAAAGTGAGTCATTGGTTAGATTTAAAACTATGTCAGAATCAAAAAATGGGTTTGTCTATTAAAAGAACTATTAGCTCGGGCTTAGAAAAGAAAAAAAATCATTGTTAGTACATTTGAAAGTTCCTACTATTGTACAACCATTCATTCTGACTCTGAAAATGGAAAACACTGGTATTTGAACGCCAGTACACACATACCTCAACGTCTAATCCTCTTCATTGCAAAAGTTGACTCAAAAATGTTGTAGCATGGCCTTCAGGAGTTTGTTACCTAATTGATCACAACCGTGGATTTATGCTAGGATGTAAGGGGGGAAATACTTAGCAAATTGCCACCAGTCATTGTGCTCTCTTGCTCAGGTGCTCAGTTGCTCAGCAGATGCAGATGCTAATGTTAAGTGACAATGTTTTTACTTGTCTTTGCAAATCTACAGTATTTATCAATGGCTGGCAAGTCCAAATTATTCTGAATAGGAAAAACCTTAAATATACTTAATACATATTATGTTATTGTGTTTGATTGTCCAGCTGGATCGGTTAGATATATCGAGCTGGAGATGAGCCGCGGATATAAGATGCACATATGCGCTGTTGGCTTGGAACGGTTTGTGTTTGAGGCTCTGTAATCTGAATGAGGCAAAAGATGCATTGTAGATATGGCATGCTTTATCTGTTGTCACCGTAGGAGTGTGTGTGTGTGTGTGTGTGTGTGAAAGAGAGAGAGAATGGAGATGGAAAGATGGAACACCTCTCAGTTGGAAATCAGAGTGGTTAAGTAACATTACAGTGATAGTTCAGCTGCCTACAAAGCTACACACGCACACACACACACACACGCACATGCGCACGCGCACCAAGTTGTTCGCTCATCACTGTTACAGAGCCAAAGGATGACATAATCACCTGCTCTCTCCTCTTTAGACAACATACACATTATCCATGCAAATTATTTTGGGATGCATGATATGGATTTTTTCAGCTAATATTGGTAACTGATAATTACCTACTTCTTACCTACTTAATATTCCATAGCTCTGACCTAACCACATGTAATTGTAAAATTCACAAATATAATTTGGCAATTTTTTAAAATAAATGCTTTGACATAATCTGTCAAATCAGATTGATTGATTTATTTGTGACAGCCTGCCACAATATCAACACTGACCTGCCAATTTTTTTGTTTTTCCTTTTTTTGTTTGCCATTTGAGATGGTAAAACACTGATTTTATTGTAGAGCTGCATGCAGTATATTGATTCACTTAGTCCCTCCTTGAATCACTCTCTCTCCCTGTCTGTTTATCACTAGACAGTTGTACACTGCACAGTCACAGTCTCACACACACACACACACACACACACACACACACACACAGTCACAGGGCTAACTGTTAGCATCATACAGCTCACGCTAACTAACGGTTATTAATGGGTTTAACGTCAGATTTGAGTCGTTTTTGTGTCGGTGTGGTTCGTTGAAACCATTTAACAGCTCAGTGTTGGATGTTAGCCCCTGCTGCTGTGTTAGCTCAAACTAACCGGGCAGACATTGAACTGATCGTACGCTAGGAGGGCAGTGGCTCTGGGGTCGGTCCTTCAGCACTGCATCAAACCAGTGTAATGGCAACACCAGAAAGGGATCAGACACCCGCCACTATCGTGTTTTCTTCCTCTCAAACTGTGAAAAACGCCCACAATGGTGACAACATGTTTGGCTCTCTGTGTGTATTAGCAGTGTAGATGCTGCGCCTGCGAAGTCAATGAAAGCAATTTGGCTTTATCAGCTCTGTTTATTGGCCGTACGTTTTTTTATGTGTGGTATGGACACAGTGCGGAATTTTGTGTTGTTGTGTTCCAATTCCACGCAGTGTGAACGGGTGTGAGTGAACATGGAGGAGAGTAGCAGCAGCAGCAGCAGCAGCAAGCTAACGTTTAACAAGCATCAACATCAACTTTCTTTAGCACTTACAACTCTCACCGCAGCCACCAAGCTGGACAGTGGACTGTCAGACGTTGTCCTTTAATTCATTGTTCATAAAATCATCCTGTCTTTTATCAAAAAGGAAGGGGTGCTGTGAAACGAGGTTTATCAACCTTTCTCCCAAACTGTCCTGCCTGACTGGATTTTGGACTCTCCTGGGTCTGCGCAACTATAAACAAACAATTTCATTGGCCCAGCTGTGTAGTTCCGCTGGCAAATTCCGCAGGGGGTCAAAGTCTGGGTGGAAACTTTTTTCACTGCACGAAAGTTCCGCCCCGGTGTACAAACTTCCATAAGAACCCATGAAATCAACTTTTATATTTTTCCGCGAGAATAATCCACATGGATATTCACCCTCAATGACAATGGACTTTTAAGCAAAACTACTAAAATTGATATTTTGCTGGTCTTCAGTCTTTTTAACATCTTTTCTCTGTTAACACAATTTTTCAGAACTTTCATCCGACTCTCTCTTTCTACACACAGTAATTATTTTTTCAAAGCTACATGGAACTATTCACCAAAATATTAGCATGAGTAAGATTAAACTGAGCTGTTTACATGATGCTGAGTCTGACTCACTAGATGTAGACTGTGGGTATAAGCCTGTTATTGGTCGGCAGTTTCATCCAGAATTCTCCGCCCCTTCAGCTGTCTGGGTGCCAGCATTTTGCAAGGGCACCGTTGCTCTACCCTGAGCTTAGTGCAGCCAAGATGATTGTGATTGGTTACGAGAAATCCAAACAACCCAGAGTGTTTTTGGCGCTTCCAGACCTTTCTCTAGCACTGAAAAGCGCTGTGGAGATAGTTCTGGCAAAGACTACATGATGCCTTGTAAATAGACTTCATTTGGACAGGCACTTTTTGGCAGAAGGAGTGAACTTGGTGAGCAGTTTCAGCATCCCAAGTTCCCAATCTCCCAATTTTTCTTGCCTAAAACATTTCCCTCCTCTATTGAGAGGATTAATTTATCTGTTATTTGGGCCATGAAAAACCCAAAGATGAGGAAGGAATCCTTTAGAGACTTAGATCTGAGGGTGGGTTGAACCCTCCTAATCTCAGATATGACTATTGGGCTGCAAATATTCAGAAAACAGTTTACTGGTTACAATTTTCCAAGTAGATTATCATCAAAAGAAACACATTGCTTAGCTTTGGTGGGTTCAAATTTCCCCCTCCATCAACCCCATTGTGTTGTCTACTTAAAAGATTTGGTTTCTGCCCAGATTACACTTTGGTTTTGGGGAGCTATCAGTCCTAAATCTAATAACCACCTCTTTGCCCCAAATAGATTAGATTCTTTAGTGAGAATCATTCCTAATCCTCAAGATTCATATTCAGTGACTGTGTGTTTGCAGTCTTAGCCGACATGACTCAAACTTATTCCAATATTTCCAGGTCCTTCACTTTGCTCAGGCCCGTAATCCAAATTTTCCCAATGTTCCTCCCAAGACTTTCCTCCAATAAAAAACCAAATTAGAATCTGCTTTCCCTCCCACAGGCCGCAGTTCTACGCAATGTCAGTTCCACACATAAGCAATACAACAAAGCCATAACCCTCAGACACTCTCTCTATAATGTTCTGTTTTTAGTCGTGTAGAGTGAAAATTGTCCGTTTAGCTAACCACGGCTCATTACAGTGATGGGTTTCAAAATGCAGCGTCTATATTTCCTTGACAGTGTCGGGGAACAGAAAGGTACAATTATATCCTACACTGTAACACAACATTGCATGCAACTGTATGACATGATAAATTACTTTGCATGCTATAATCAGACCTGTTACTTCACAGTTGCAAAGCAAAGGCTTGCTTCACAAGATAATATTGTTGAAAAAACACTTGGGTGTGCACTGAAAGTGTCTTTTTATATTTGTCTTTTGGTGGACTTGAATGCAGCACGATGCTTTATAGCAGCTTGTTTTCTGTCTTCTCACGCACCTGCGTATGATTCCTCTGTCACTGTGCATACTCAATTAGTTCTGACCTCTGTTGGGATTACAAAATATTCCATTTAGAATTTGGTTATAATAAAAGCATTTAACAGAAGGAAAACTAAAAAGCAGGGCTTAGACATATCCGGTGTAGACGAAGATGAAATCTCCTATCAAAGTGTCTTGTCTGTGTTGTGGTATGATACAAAAACACTTTATATCCATTTCACTCGTCTGTGTCGTGTTGAGGAAATACAGTAATGTAGGAGGATGTTCTGCCTTGGCTCAGGCCTGCTGTGCACTGCACTCCTTCTGAAAGCCTGACCTGGTTTTGACCCATAATAAATGTTAGTTTCCGTGTGTGTGTTTAAGCCACAAAGTGGCACCAGTGGCAGCAGCCAAAACAAAGGCAATGCTCTTTGACTGGTGCTCTCGCCCCTGAGGAGTGCCTGCACACAAGCTCAGAGTGAAATGACTCGCTGTTACCCCCCAGAGAGAGAGCCATGATGCTGCTGAAAGCCTCACCTGACCGACCGTGTTGTTTCATCGTACACACTGACTGCCTTTTATTGTCTGCATGATGGAGGGGGGGTGTTTTCCTTCCTCTTGCAGCCCTTTTATTGAGGTTAATGCATTGTGACTAACACAGTGCTATTAAGCCTCTCTGTTTCTTGCAGTCTTGTTCTCTCTCCCTATCCTTTTATCTGTTTCTCCATTTGCCTCTTTTTCTTAAAGAGCCCACCTCTTTAACAAACAGGACAATCCTCAGTGAAGCCATTACTTGTGTTCTGTACCTATGTGTTTGTGCCTTTGGGTTCCCCACCATCTCTTACCCTTGATTCATCAGCAGTTATTCTGCTAATCAGCAAATTGTGGAATACATTTTGTATTTATTTACAATAGTAATGAAGTAAGGTTTGGTTCTTTACTGTGTGATCATAGTAGTGATGCAAAACTGAATTATCACCACAGCTGGAAAATGTCTTTGGAAAAATATTTCTAAACTTTCAACATTTCATCTGAACTACTTCCTTTTCTTCATTTCTGTCTCCTTCCCTCTGTCCCCCCCTCTCTCTTTGCCTCCCTCAGGTCTCCGGAGGGTCTAGACGGCCAGCCTCCAGCTCTGCCCCCCAAGCAGCTGAGCAGGAAGACCTTGAGCCAGATCATCCAGGCCCACTCCCAGCAGAGCCTCCTGGACAACCACCTTAACGAGATGTACGATGTTCCTGTCAATGCTGATAAAACCACGGTCAGTATGGCAACACAAGATGGTAACGCTCATTACGTATGAAAACACGTTAGTGCTGGGGCATCTTTTAGCTCACCTGGTAGAGGGTGTGCCCCGCATAGGTTGAGTCCTTGTAGTGTCTTCCCACTCTCTTTCCCACCTTTCTTGTCATTCTACTGCTGTCCTAACAATAAAAGCCCAAAAAAAAAAAAAAAAAAAGTTATCGCTAAGGTCAGTTGCATAAAGTGTCTTCACAACATGATTACCCTACCAGTCCTCTCAAGTATCCTATAAAAAAGTGAAAATTAAATGCATGACATCAGAAGATTTCATTAGATTGTTTTACAGTTATGAGCATTTTGAGGTTCTGAGTATATTTTTCATTCACAGACCTCATTAGCAATAAAAATAAAAGACAACTTAAGATGCACCCTGTGAATTCTATTAATAATTCAAGTGCTTCTGTTGCTTTGCAAATCAGTTTAGTTTGTTTTGCTATTTTTTCTGCCCCCTAGTGGCCAAAATACATTTTTGACACCTTAAATTGTAATCTAAAATGAAGATGTGACGTTGGCGTTCCATTCTAGCACCAATTTGCACCAAATGCAGAGGATGATGATATGGAGGAAAGCAGGAGGTGAATTTGATGTACCTATGTCCAACTTTGCTCTTGCAGCTAAATGGAGTTGTCCCTCATGATAATCTGGTCCTGATCAAGATGAGACCTGACGAACACGGACGATTTGGCTTCAATGTCAAGGTGAGAGCTGAGTATAGTTGGGACATGAAAGGAAGAAGTCTATTTTGTTCATGGTTTTTCTATCTTTTTCGTTGTTTTCTATCCTTGGCTCATCTCTTCATCCGTATACTCCTCATTGTCCTTCTTTTCTTATGCCAAGTAGTCAAAACCCTTGGCACATATTATCTGTATGCATCATGACCAATTCTATACTCTTTGCCTGAACTGTTGAGTATTCCCTAGAAAGACAGGAAATGTGTGAGGCTCTGTGCTGTATACTGACCGTGTCTACATGTGTGTCTGTGTGTGTCCAGGGTGGGGCTGACCAGAAGATGCCCATCATTGTGTCTCGAGTGGCTCCGGGAACATCGGTAAGTTCACAACCACCACATATAGTCACTAGATGACTGCTACTATATTTTCTTTAGTAGCACTGCTGAGTTTAACCACCAGTGTTTTAGCATTTTCACTTCTAAAGACTTTTTCTCCCCTATTAGAGACATTTTATCAAGCTAAACATGTTACTGTTATCTCACCATACTCATCATGTCGCCATCTTTTGTCCTTTGCCCTCTTTTCCTTCTCCCTCTTCAGGCTGACCTGTGTGTGCCTCGCCTTAACGAGGGCGACCAGGTGGTCTTAATTAATGGGCGGGACATCTCTGACCACACCCATGACCAGGTGGTCATGTTCATCAAAGCCAGCTGTGAGAGCCATTCTGGAGAGCTGATCCTATTGGTCAGACCGAACGGTGAGTTATTCCCTGAGTGGTTGGATCCGCTGTGTCACTTTTACCTTTGTCAAATTCACTGGATGGAACCAAAAAAATGGAGAGACGTTGAGTGTAATTCAGCTAAACAATACAAAGTTGACTCACAATGTGCTGACACGTTCTAAAAAAGATGTGTTCTTGGACTTAAATTTCAAGATATTCCTGTTCTTTTGTCCACTTCCTGTGTTTTTTAGCTTAGACGCCACCAGCTGAGATAGGAATTGCAGAACTAAGCACAAGTGTTACCCCATTATCGAGTCAACTAGCTATTACTAAATTCTTCCTAATTTTGTAACTAGTAACTAATGTACTAATTCAGGTTGCTCAGGAATGTCTCATGGTGCATTCATGTGCCTGGATGGTCCCATATCCCAAGTTGGGGAGTCGTCCTTTTGACTCTGTTGTTTTCATGGGCTTTTAAGTCATAATGTGGAAACAGTATGGACGCCACGAAGAAAATGCGTTGTATTTTATCAAGCAGAGCATCCAAACAACAAGTTGATAACTATTTCCAGTATTTGGAAACATGAATTATTAAAACTTTCTCACCATAAACCAAACATTTACTTTGGTCTGCCATATTTCTATGTATGTGACGTCAAAATCGGCAAGCCTTGGACAAAAATTTTCGCAGACTTTCCGAGTTGTTCCGACCTCAGGAAGTTTTCCCAGTCAGGAACTAATCTTTCCCGTAAATCCAACACCACATAAATGGGCTGTTACATACTAAGACCGTGTGTAAATTGCTGCTATGAAACATCTTGAGAGCAATTATTGGTGTGAACAGGGAGTCACACAGGCTTTAACATAACTTGCATAAGTGACGGTATCATAAAGTTTGCTCCGTTGCCATGGAGATGGTTCTGTTGTCATCTCGTGACCTTGTTATGAAAGTTTGTCATATTAAGCTATTTCTTTCAGTTGGTTCAGGCAGATTCATCAGAGTTACATCTGGCAGTTGTTGGGTGTAAATGTTCAGTAGCAGCCAATCTCTGCATAAGCACTACTTTGTTTGGTGCAACACATTTTAGAACAGTGATGCATGACTTTCCAGTGTAATATTGGAACAGCTGGTGCAGCCCACTCCTGAAGATTAACAACTGCACATCTGGTCACCAGTCTCGACTCTTCTTCTGGCCTTTTCTGGACTGCTCAGTCTTACTTTTGTAATTTTAAAGGAGATGTCTAAAGTTGTACATCTCAGCTATATGTATTCAGCTTGTAGAAAGATGGCAGATCATATCCTTTAATCGGCAGCAGTGAAGTGGGAGTGGAGCTTTTAAAGATGATGAAACATTGAGATTCTTGGTATTTTAACTGGGTCAAAGAGGGATTTATGGATTCTATCCTCTCTTACATCAGAGTAGATATAAGATTGCATCAATGTATTGAATGCCTGTCAGGTCACATTATTTGATTCTGCTGTTTTCCACATAGATGAGCTATATATTCCTCTGGTGCAGTGCTTTGGTTGTGACTTGTAGCGTGTCTTTCTCTTGGATGTTTACTTTCCTCATTATGTACTTAAAGATGAATCAGCTCCCTCGGGCTTCAGTCTACATAAACAGCTATGTGTGTATAAACTGTGACACACTTCTTCTCTGTCCCATTCAGCCATCTATGACGTGGTGGAAGAGAAGGTGGACTCGGAGCCAGATTTTCAGTACATCCCTGAGAAGTCCCCTCAGGACCCCGCCCAGCTAGACCAGCATGCTTTGAGGGACTCCATGGTCACACTGAAGGAAGGCCTGATTGGTGGAGCCATACTGGCACAGTTTGATGTGAGGAGAAAGACATAGAAATAAACACACACGTGAAAAGATACTGCACATTTATGCTCACACAGAGATACACACAAACCTTCTGTCAAACCTTTCTTTCCTCCTTTACATTGCCACAACTTAAACACAAATTTGTGCTCCTTTTCTTGCAGCAACTGTACAGAAAGAGGCCGGGGATGACCATGCTGTGTGCCAAATTACCTCAGAACGTTTCCAAAAATCGCTACAGAGACATCTCTCCTTGTACGTGACCGCACTCGATTCTGTCTATTTCTGTTGGCTCGTGTGTTTAAATATGTACCGACATTAACCTTTTGTTCCTTCCATCATACTCTCTCTCTCTCTCCTCTCTGTGCTCTTTCTTTCTTCCTGAAATCCTTTCTTCTCTCTGTCAATTGTTTGTTTGTCTGTCTCAATCTGTAATCTTACCCCCTTTTTCTTGTCTTTTCTGTCCCTCTGCAGACGATGCCACACGGGTCATTCTGAAAAGCACAGATGACTACATCAATGCAAATTACATCAATGTGAGTTTGGTCCTCCTCGTCTTTCCTCTTTCATCTCTCCATCAATATGCGTTTGGCTCGTTTGAGCAGTGGTGGGTGGTCTGTTTTCGCTAACCATCAAAACACATGTTGGAAACACTACGGTGGCCATACTGGTGAATGAATTAACCACATGGGCTTACAAGCACATAACACTGTGAGTTCATGTTTTACATGTTTCTCAGGCAGCCAGTAAAGCTATCAGCAGCTTATGGATGTTATTAATTTGAGCCCCTATCAGACATCTGTTTAAGTCGTGCCTTTTTTGGAAGTCAAACTTTCTTTGTCACATTAATGCCCTGTAATGGCTGTGCTAGACATGGTGGGACCTTTACGTATGGAGTAGCACATTGAAACAGCAGTCAGTTGGAAAGGAAGGATGTGATGTAAGAAATGTATTCTCAGTTTTCTCACATATTCATGTTTTGCAGTTGATTTGTTTATCCCTTTGGCTTAATTAATGATCATTGTGAGCATGGAGGACACTCATCTCAGCTTCTCACTCATTTATTCAGCCCTTTACATCCATTTTCTTATCGCTGTTATCATTTATTAGACAGAATACAGCCTGCTGCTGCCTACTGTCAGTCTGACAATTTTTATTTACTCTGTATGTGAAGTGTTTGGGTATTCATCCTGTTATTTGAAAGCCGGCACAGATGGAAGTTGAAAATGTAGAGAGAATTATTCTGATTGTTGAAGTAGTTTCCTGAAGTGTTTTCCTCCTCTGTGCCCTATTGTGTGGTGAAAATATTCATGAAACACATTTATTAGACAGATCTGATATGAGAGGCATCTTCTCGACAACCTGATTTTCTTTTTTATGTCAACAAGGTATTACAGTCAAATGGAAAATGTATGTTTGTGCTCTTAGGAAGTTGGTACACTATTAATTTTTTTTTTTTTTTGCTGCTATTATGTCAGTGTTACTGGATGGCATTCAATTAAAGCTTCAGTGTCACACTGATATTACTAGGTCTGACTTTGTAAGTGACTCAGAGATTCAAACTGGAGACAAAACAGCACATTTAAGTATTTAAGAGCATGTTTAAGCCAAGTTTGAAGTGGTTGTACCTTTCTACAGTAACTTGAGAACATTTAGCTCTCTGCACTGATATAAACACACAAAGCGCATCCTTTCAATTGAAAATGATTTAAGAAGAGAAGCTGTAAAGTGAGATCCCCGTAACCTAATTTCTCTGTATCACAATCTGTGTGTCTCTCTCTCTGTAGATGGAGATTCCAGCCTCGAGTCTGATAAACCGTTACATAGCATGCCAGGGCCCCCTGCCCAACACCTGCCCCGACTTCTGGCAAATGACATGGGAGCAGGGCTCATCTATGGTGGTCATGCTGACTACGCAGGTCGAGAGGGGGCGGGTACGTGGAAGAATTTCTCAAATACATGGACTGGAAAACACACATTGACTGCAGCATGTTCAACGTTTCCAAAACCTTTACTGTACATGTAGCACTGCTGTACACAATAAAGTCTGACACCCAAACATAAAGAGAGTGCTGCATTGCTCTAAAGTAGGCAGGTTTGCCATTTGTAGAAATCCCAAACCCTGGGTGAGATACTTGTGTTGAAATGTTTCATCATTTACAAGTTTTCTGCAGCTTGTGTCTTTTGTTCATTTGAGCATAGTTCATTTAAATGCACAAAGTGAGTAAAAGTTGGGTTACTGTGAAAACAATAGACCAAAGATCACTTACTCATCGAACAAGGTGTGAATTTAAAACAAAACATGCAAAGTTTGCTAATTCTTCTTGACATTAGAAAGAAGTGTTTTATTGCAAAACGAAAGGCCGGGGACAGGACATCCTGAAAATCATCATCTATACATATCACTGGAGGCTTTAATGGTTCCAGATGGACTGAATGTTTTGTATATGGTATGCATTTGTGCATTAAATATAATAGCAAAGAACAGATGGCTAACTTTAGAGAGATGCTGTTGCATAGCAGAGCTTGACCACTGACCCTAGAGCTGAGCATAACTGCTGGGACCTGTTAAGTAAATTAAACGTCCAGTTGTAAACAGAATACCTTGTCTGTGTTTATAGGTGAAGTGTCACCAGTACTGGCCCAATCCAGACAGCAGCGCCACCTATGGAGACTTCACAGTAACGTGCCACAATGAAGAGGGCAACTCTGCCTTCCTGGTCCGGGAGATGACTCTCGTGCACACGCAGGTAATCACACACATTTAAAACGAGGAACAAAAGGGGGATGAACAGGGAAGGAAAATTAGGACCAGATCAGAGGAACAAGAGAGAGGAAGGCAGAGCAGGGCAGAGAGGAGGGCGAAGGCATCACCGAGAAAGACGCTGGGCCCAATCAAAGCAAGGGACCAGTGTCTCAGGAAGGATGAGCCGCCGAGGACCCCGAGGAGGTGTGTTGCCATAGTGACCAGTGTGGGCTGTTCTTTTTCTGGCTCCCGCTGCTGCATGCGGGCCACGTATTGGGATCTGGTTGCCATGACAACCCAACCACCCGTGTCAGTCACATTGCCGAAATAGAGAGCGAGGAAGAGAAACCAAACGGAGGGAGAGAGGAAGAGAGAGTGGGACGATGAGAGTTTCAAAAACATAAATGTAAGTTTGTCTTATTTTGATGTGGAAGCCGTTTGATGCTCACTGCCTCGTGCGCTGCATTTAAAAGTGAAGGCTGTTATTTGCCTTTGGATGCAAAATGGTGTCATGTTACACGTAACATGGTATAAACCTTGCAAGCATTGAGGACACAATTGAAAATGAACTTTTAATGGAGGTTCAGGATGTTCCTGGTGTTTCATCGTCACTTCCTGCTGTCTGTGTTTCCCTGATTGCTTCGCTGTGTCTCGCCCGTGTATCATGACCTTTGAAATATACGGCTGTAGGAGGAGGCAATTAGCATTCTCCTCTGCCTGTGATTGTTGCTATGGAGATAGAAGTGTTACCATGGCGACGAAGCGAGGCAATATTAAAGAGGAACGGGGGGCTGTGAGTCGACATCAGACAGTGGTCAGGAGTTATCTGCTGTAGGTTGTGTGTGTGTGTGTGGTCATCATTCTGTCCTTTTTGGGTTTAAATCTCACTGTCTCTTTTTTTTCTGACCGCTGAATACACACGTTTTTCTTTTCCTTTTGAATAAACAAAAGAGAAAGTGTGACATATACTTATTTATAGTTTCATTGCAACATAAAATTTACATTTTGTATTGGAGCTACGTAAATATTGCCTCGAATATCTGGTATTTGATAGAATGGGGCAGAAGGACGTGCATCACCAGTGGAGTGGAAGGAATAAAACCACTGTCTGTTATGCACAGTACCCGTTTCATAACACATTTAAAGGCCATAATTACACAAACAGGGTGCTGTGCAGTTTGTCCGTCCGCCGCCGCCCCCCCCCCGGAACCCAGAGCTCAATGAAACATGCTAGGAGGTCGCCCACATGAAATACAATAACCTGTTTTGGGATCTGAGGATGAGAATAATTCATTACATAGTAAGCTCGGGTCTTGACTGAGGTGAGAGTGAATGCAGTCAGTTTGTTGCCAATAATAAAGAAGCATTTCTGAAAGGCAATATATGAAAATATAAAGTTATTTTTCTTCTTTTTTTTTCTCTGTGTGTGTTCAGAGTGAGCAGCAGAGAGAGCTCACCCAGATTCAGTACCTGGCCTGGCCAGACCACGGCGTTCCTGATGACTCCACTGACTTCCTGGACTTTGTAGCTCTGGTACGGACCAAACGGGCAGGACAGGACCAGCCGATGGTGGTGCACTGCAGGTACAGTTGTTCTCTGTGAATTATTTAAGGTGGTGAACCCATTGTCAGCTGTTTTGTGTGTTGTGTGAAGGCTCTTGACATGACATGGTAACATAGTCAACTCATCTCACCTCTGATTCTCTGTCGTGTGGCTTTTTTCCAGCGCGGGGATTGGTCGGACAGGGGTTCTTATCACCATGGAGACAGCATTGTGTCTAATGGAGTGCGGTCAGCCAGTGTATCCTCTAGATATCGTCAGGACCATGAGAGACCAGAGAGCCATGATGATACAAACACCTGTACGTAGACACATCCATTTATCTGCACAGCTGCTCTCAGCTGCTTTAAACCATCAGCTAAAACATCTCTTTCTATCTCTCCATCAGAGCCAGTACCGCTTTGTGTGCGAGGCCATCCTGAAAGTCTACGAGGAGGGCCTGGTCAAACCATTCAAGACTGCTATCTACCAGCTGAGAGAAAAGGTGGATGAGGGGAGGGACGAGGAGAAGAAAGAGCAGCAGAAAGCAGGGGAAGGAGCAAAGATGGCAGCAACGGAAGATGGGGAGGCGGCTGTGGTGGAGTTGCTGGAAGGAGGTCTGGATGAAGAGGATGAAGACGACGAAGAGGTGGAGGTGCTGGATGTGGGGGAAGTTACAGAAGAGGGAGACGAGGAGGACGAAGAGGAGGAGGAAGTGGAGGAGCTGAGCGTTGCGAGTGTTGCGAGTGTCGCTAGCGCCGCGAGCGCAACCAGCGCTGCCAGCGCCGCGACTGCTGCAAGTGCTGCAAGCGCCACCAGCGTGACCAGTGAGACCAGCGTGAACCCTGACCCTGATCCCGATCCTGCTAACCCGTGACTTTTGACCTTTGGCAGTCATCGGGGGTTACCAGGAGGAGGCCAGGCGGCCGGAGGAGAGAACAAAAGCACTGTTGCACTTTATGCTGACAAAAATGGAAAAAAAGACACAAACGAACAAACGTGAAAGTCATGGACAAGCTAGAATAAAAAAAAGAAACCCAGCTGTGTTGAATAGGTACCATTAGGGGATATTGTACGTTCAGGGTAAAGAAAAAAGTCTACAAAGAATGAAAAGATAAAAGTACGAGAGAATAAAATGTGGATGGGGAATTGCTGTAGTGCCATAAGTACGAAGGGGAAGGGCTGTCCCCATGGAGGGAAAGTTTTTTTTTTTCCGTAATGGGTCACCCTGTCCTCTTCTGAGCGAGTCTGCCAGACGGACCTGCCTTTTTTTAGTGTCCTTTTAGCTGATAAAGAGATATACCTTATCTTTTGTTCCTCAGAAAGAGTATTTATTGTGTTTTAGTTTGTGTCAAACCCTGTCCACTGAACAAAAAAAACTTGTATGTTTGTTTGTATGAATCTAGAGCTTCATGCTTTCCTGATTAAATCTTAGGTAGTAAAGTAGTGCGATTCCTCTTCTTCTAAGTACTTCTTTATTTCTTTTGCTTTTCGTGGGGGAAAAAAACTGATTTAATTTATTGTACTTGGTTTTTATCTTTCTCGGCTTTCTCGTCTACATTTCTGACAGCACAGACTGACAGATGGACAGCTGAAAGCACTCTGTGTCTCACCTCTTGTTCAATGCTGTGGCAAGTTGTATTCTTGATCCTGCTTTGTGCTGTGTTTTTGAGCTTACAGACACGCGCGCTCCAAAGCGGCCGTCGTTTGGCGTGGTGAAGAACATAACTGGTTTACAGTCCTCAGGGCCAGTGTTTACTGGGCACCTCTCTTTCACTTCTGTCGCAGCAGCTACTGCTCCTCTGCGACCACAGACCTCCCACTGAAAAACAGAATGATAGAAACGTTCAGCATTGATGGATCACTCAAAACTAACTCACGCCGCATAACGCTCAATGAAGACAGCGTCATTAAGAGAGGCCCCAGTAGACACCCGGCCTCACTGAGTTACAATCTAAGCTATTTCCCGGCCCTCGTGGCTGATGAAGCTAAGAAACAAGGCTGAGCTCAGTTCACTACTTTCTTCAGGATTCACATGCAGCCAATTTCATATTGAAATCAAACCCAGAGTCCCTGCTTAAGTGTCCTTGAGCCAGACACTGACAACAAATCACCACTGTACGTGAAGCTCGGCAGGACTCCTTTTAGCAAATCAACCTTGTGTACCTTTGCACACGTCCCTATGTTAGAACCTGAGAGGCGAATACTGGTAATACTACTCCAGAAAATCAGACACCAGTATCATTAATAAGTTCTCAAGAGGTTGAAAGCTGCTAGAATTTTTATGCAATCAGTATTTGCTTTTTCGAATCTGCTTGCTGAATTGATGGTGAACTGATCTCAACCTTAGTGTGAATGGTAAAAACATGACTTCAGAGGCTCCCTCCACTGACCTCCCACCATTTTATACATACAGAGGGTCAAGACATTTGGATCTTTCGTGACACATTTGCAGTTGAGACTGGCGGATCATCGCCTTGTATGACTCTAGTAGCTCATTGAATACTTTTTTTTTTAAGGTTCAGTGAGGCTCAGAGGTCAGTGGAGCGGGGCTTTAAACCAACCTTTGCTGTTTCATTTTGTTTTCTCAACTCTGATTGTCTGCCAGAGAACAGTTGACAGTTCAAAGAAGCAGCACCAACAGAAATTTCAACCAATGCTTTTCCTTTTTCAATTTTTTTTTCAAATTTTTTTTTTATTGATCTTTCCCAATGGTACTTCATTTTAAGGCACATGTTGTTTTTAAGCCAAGATGATGTGTTAATGAGTGAAAAGAGACTAAAGTGATGACTTGTATTTTTAATTCACAAAACCCAGCATCAAGTTGCCTGTCTTCTTTTTTTTTTTTTTTTTTTTTTTTTGTAAAAGTATAGGTTTGCTGCCGTTGTACTTTACATAGCGGTATGGAATGAAGTGTAGCCTCTTCATGATTTGAGATATTTTTCTTATCGGCTGCTTCAGTACCTGCTGTCATCGGATTCTGCTGGAAAAAAACCTACTGCTGTGAGTGTGTGAGAGTGTGTGTGTGTGTGTACTCCGATTTCTGTCTTTATCTATCTCTTTCTCTGTATCTCTCCCTTCTCCATTTCTAACATATAGTTTGTTAGCTGTCTGGTCTATGCCTGCTTGTCCGTTAACTGGAATGAAGGGTTGTGCCATAAAGCCACAAACCTAATCTAACCCGATCTCAAGATTTTTTTTTTCCTGAAGAAACTCAGATAGAGCCTTCTTGGAGAGTGATTTTTTTTATAGTCTGTCCTAAGAACCGGGCTGAATCTTGGCCTGTGAAACATTTCAAACCAATGCTCCAATGTTCCTCCCATCCAAACAGCTGAATCATACTTTTGTCACACGGAGAGGTGGGATCAAGAAGAGCCGAGCTTTCCTCTTCTCTCTCTCCCTCATCTTCTTCTTCTTCTTCTTCTTCTTTTTTTAATCTCTCCTATATTTGCGGCCGTCTCCCAAAATCTGCCTAACTCCTTCTCTCAGGCAACATCAGTCATTTCAGCAGAGCCCACACAACATCCACAGTCCATTCTTCTCATTGTTCTTCCCCAGATGCCTCTCTCTTTTGGATCATTATACACGGATCCCACTCTCTCTGCAAAGCCTCGAGGCAAATGACACATCTGAGCAGAATACCATGGGTACAGTAGTGCAAGCTTGTTTTCCACAGGATAAACTGAGGGTAGCCAGTGAATGACTGACTCAGTAACTGGTTTAAACTTTCCTTTTTTATTATTGGCAGACCCTACGGTATGAGCTTCTAATCAAAAGAACAAGCATTCAGCACCCACTGGCTTCTTATCATTAGATTTTGTATTCAGCAGCCAGGCCAAGCAAATCAAATTACCACCAAATCACATTTAATTAATGCTGAAGGCCTCGTGATAAAGTGGCATCAATAACAAGTTCAATAAAATGACCATTTCTAACAAGAAAATAAAACCCTGCAGTGCAAAATTAATAATTGATAAATCAGGGCTGCCAGAGTTTCCATCTGCACAAAATGTCCAGCAATGAGCTGTCTGTGTTCAAAGTGTTTTGTTGTTGACACATAATTGGTACTGTCTGTGCGTTTAGGGTACTGATCAAAGGTAGTTTGGAGGGGACCAGACGCGGGGAGGGCTCGGGTTAGTTGTATTTTTGTAAAGATGAAAACAGCTCTAGTTGGGTAGGTGAAAGGACAGCACTTTGTAGAAGGCTGAGTGGCAGGTAGTGCTACTGAGAAAAAAAAAAAAAAGTTGGAGACATAAAGCATTGTTAAAATGAGTTGTTCTTTTTTTTTTTTTTTAATTTGTCATTTTTATTTTTGTTTAAAATAAGACCTGTAGGGAACAAGGAAAAAAAAAAGAAAAGAACTCCTAACTACACAGTGCCACTTGTTAATTTTGTGTAAATAATACTAGAACATGTAAATACAATGTTGTATATGAAAAAAAAATCTTTAAAATAAAAGGGAAAATCATTTGTGAGCAGAAAGATTTTGTTTTGATTTTATTTTTGATTTTTTTTCTCCCTTCCCTTTTTTTTTGGACGATTCAAATGTGACACAAATGGTGTGTATTTCAAGACTGCTATTGCAAAAAGTTCTGTTTTATTTGAGACGTAATCTATAACAGCGAGTGTATATATAATGAATCACAAAATAATGAGAAATGTTTTACCGTATTATATCCTTGGTTAACTCCTACCTGTGTCATAAAAACCTTTGTCCTCAGTTGCTTGTTTCTTTCTGGTATGATGGTTTTACGGTGCTTTGGACATGTCTATAAGCTTGATTGTGAACAATTAAAGCTTGTCTGTCAAAGCATGGAGACGTGGCTTCGGATCACCTTGCTTTTCCGCACTGTAAAAGTGAGGCTGGGTAATCATAGATTCACCAGATGAAAAGGACAGCTTATTTTATATTTTCAGTGATTGAGATTTAGCCATGAAGTGAAGCCATCGACCACATGAGGCAGCCAAAATGCTAAATCCTTGTAATGCAGAGAAAAAACTAACACACTGACACTGAGAAGGAAAGAAGAGCTTTTAGAGTTGCGAAGACACACTGAAAGTATATTTTCTACGGAAACAAACAGCCTCCACACTGTCTTGAAATAAGCCACCCGTAAAGATTTATGATAATGTAAGATGATTTGATAGCATAAGGTACTTTGGATCCAACCATTTCCTTTTATAATGGTATTATTGAGCCAGAGGCCACAATAGGAGTTATTACAGAGCATTAAAGCACCAAAGCAGACAAAAAAGATGCATCTACTGTACTTTCTGTAACGATAAGAAGCAAACGCGAACCACTTTAACGCCGGTGTAAATGCAATACACACAGTAAGACAGTTGTCGTACTTTCTGAGAGACACCAGTGCTCATTTTTGAAGTCGATATAGGCCTACAATAATTTGAGGAGGGCTACTTAAATGTGTAGACCACAGCTGGGTTATATACCAACATATAACTGCATTAGTAGGAGATTACTAGTGTTGTATGGCAGAGCATAGGGATTTTTTTGAGGGATTTGCAGGGAAAAAGGCCAAACATATTGTATCTGTGCAGCTTTTACACTATCCACACATGTTTTTATGATCATGCCATACTGTTGCAGGCAGTTCTTTGCAATCCACACACACAAAAATATCACTTGTTCTCATATACAGGACCACACATAAAGAATCATATCGGGAGATGTACCTGCACCTGAACATTTAGGAGCTTTGATGTGCTTCAGAGTGAAACATCACAATACATAACTACATAATTTCATATTTTGGATAAACTTAAAGCATTGTCCCTGATACAGTGCCATCAAAAGCACACTTAAACATAAATAATTTCTCTTAAAAACCACCTCAGTGTACAGTGTCCTAATCTGCTGCCCTATATGCTGAATGACCTTAAACCCTGAATGAACCACAGGTCAAACAGGTCTCTCTAAACACATTTTAAACCATTATTCCCAAACTAACCAGAAGGGGGTGCTGCTGTGTAATAGAGACAACAGTGTGGTTCAACTTTAGAAAATGAATGAGGCCAATCCTCCTAACACTGGGAGTTAAAAATGGCACGGCAACTATTCTATGACTCTATGATTATTTATATGTTTATATATGACGTCAAAGTATGTTTAATTGATTAGCAGCTTTGTTTTATCTTGACTTTTATTACCAAATTACACCAAAACTGGAAAAAAAGTAAATGTAAACCGCGAGGTAATAAAATAAAGTGTGTTTTTTATTTGGTAATAGCACTAAAAAAATGATAATTTTACCATGCCGGCTCGAACAAAGAGGTTTGTCGCTTTAAAAATGCTAATTAAGTTTTTGTTAGGGATTTGTCGTGACGTCACATCCTGAGGAGAGCTTTGCCTCCTACTTTTTGTTGGGACCTGGGAGAGAAAATTATCCCGTAGAGGTAACGGTGTGGGGGGGGGAAAGAAGAAAGAGAAATAAGCAACAAAACATGGAAATGTACCAGGTTGCTATTTAGTCGTCTACAATGCAAGAGGACGTCCTTCCGCTGTGAATTCATACGAGGAGGTTTTTGTAAGTATGCCTTTATCCAGACCTCCACGGAGCCACAAGTGGCAGCGGAGCAAGTGTATGTCGGATACATCGTCCTGAGCAGAAAGACGGCGTTTGTTTTGTTGTACGGGACACGCTGCTGTGGTCGGAGTCTTGTATATTAGATGCTGTTGTTGCTAATGGTTAGCTCGTGCTTTAAAAACAAGCGCACACCTGTTGCTTTTGCTTACACACCAGGTACCTGAGGCCTCAACTGGACACAAATGTGAAGCTAAGGGTCGCATTGTTTATTTGTTTGCTTTATAATTATTTTTTCAGCTGAATTTAGCTGAAGTTTTCTAGCTTGTCTTTACATTTCAGACTTGGTAGGGGTTTGTGGCAGCACGGGCAGCACAGCCCATCTCAGGGTTTCTTTTTCTGGCTGACCTGAAACCACAAATAGCAAGCAAGTATAGGCTACACATCTTCTAAGTCGGCTAATATTAGGTAACTGTTTCAGTTTCATTGTAGTGTGTAAAGTCCACTAAAAATGTCCTTTATCCTTACTTTGCTTTCTGTATTCGTCGAATAGAGCTGCCTACAAAGTAACATTAAAAGTAGAAATTTAACGAACGTTATAACGTAACGTAAACCCAGTCCATAATATATGTACGATTTTTGAGTCGTTGGCCGATAAAAGCTAACGTCATCTTGATGTCTGTCACCTGTAACAGTCAGTTTACAGATAGAGGTCGTAGCCAGGTGAACCATTAAGTTAATATAACCAAATGTTAAGACCAAATAATACTAACATAAGCCTGTTGCCCCGTCTGGACACATATAATAATAAATTAAGCAATATAAGAGAATGTAAGGGACTGTTCTCTATCTATCAGAGGAGGGGTGTGGCGACTGCATTTTTTCTTCTTTAATCTTCACCTTTCCCAAAGCTATAAATATTTTTCCTCAAGCCTTCCTGAGTGACTGGGGAAATTGTGTGACCGTCCCTCTACCATAAATGTATGTGTTTTAATATTCACACCAAATGTAGGTATGGGAGCCAATGCTACGAGCAGACAGCACAGAGGGAGTGAGAGTTATCACCAAAACGAGCCACTAATTTCTTAAACAAAATGCCAATCCTGCAGGATATGGATGCACGACAGCCACCTGTCCTGGTCATACCACACAAAACCAGCAAAAATTAATAAGCCACAACACACACAGACAAACATCACAGCACACATAGTCGGCACTAGCAACATGTGCATGTATTGACAGTTTTCCCAAATAAACAGTACACAGCAGTAACACCAGCAGCAGACTAGAATAATATCCAGGATCATGGAAAACCTGGAAAAGTCACATTTTCCAGGCTTGGGAAAGTCATGAAATTTGTAAAAATCATTGAAAGTTTTGGAAAAGTCATGGAATTCTGTTGTGTGTATTGAAATTGTTACATTAGTCTTGTGTGAATAACCGTCCTTCAGCCTAATGTAACTTAACAGCAAAATTATTTTCTGAAGCCGTGGATGTAACATTGCTCCAATATGCGTAGATGTGTGACATTTGTTTGCTATTATGTATGTTTATTTATTTTTCTCCCTGCGCTCCATCTCTCCCTCTGTGTATGATCAAAATTTGAATCCAATATGTTTGAATAACGTCAGGCAATTGGGGCAAGAAGAAAAAATATTGTTGTTCCTCGAAAAATCATGAAAAGGTTTTGAAATTTTGTCCATGAAAATGTGTGGAAACTTTGAATATCAGTAGCTTGACACGTCAGCGGTGATTAGATTTTATAAACTTGCCCATTAATGTTTGAAAGTTAAAAGTTGAAAACAAAGTCTTGAAGTTGAAAAATGTCTTGGTACTTTATTGCAAACAGTATATTTTTGGAGAAATTATGAGACATGTAGAATTAATTAGAATATGAATATTTTAATCCAAGTTATTTTTCCTGAAGGAAGCTTGTAATGTATTCAAGAACCATCTGCAATTTAAACATTCAACAATAATGTTTTTACGGTTTATGGCTATGATAAATGGAATAAGTACTTCTGGCAATTTCTAAAGAAAATGTGCCTTTCAAACCAGCTTGCCAGATTTAGGTTCAGATAATATAAAAAAAAAATGCAATCATTTAAAGTTGTTTGTCCCTCCCCTAAGCCAAAATAATAAACAAGTCTCTCCTCAATATTTAAAAAATTATTTGACATGCCTTCCCCATTTTGCACCACCCCTTCTCCCGTCACATAAGGAACAGTCCCTAATGCTAACAAAAATGTGCACCTGTTTGTTTCAGGTATGTCAGGTATTCATGTTGGATATCTAGCTACCTGTCAGCTGACATTACAACAGTCTATGCAAAAACAATGTAACACAACTACATCTCATGTTTCTATGCTCCTAGCTGTCGTCCACTAATATGCAGGGTGCAAAACTAACTGTTTCCACCTGCCAATGGCGAGTGAATGTTCAAATTTTACCAGCCACTCAATAGATTACCATTGTTTTTTGGTTATTTGTTCAAGGCTGGTGAGCCAATCTACCAGCCACTTGCATATTGTACCAGCATTTAGCTTGTGGTTGGTGCTGATTTCGTTCCCTACTCACGTGTTTTACAGGTAGACACTAATTTTAAATATGTAACAATTTTGAAGGCCTGTACAGTCCACAAATATGAGATTAACTTATATGCATTAACATCTCCTCTCTTCTCTTACAGGTGTGGCAGTGTAACCCTCCCTCTTCCCCATCATGCTGAGTTTCCTGCGCAGGACGCTGGGGCGACGCTCCATCCGGAAACATGCAGAGAAAACACGGTTACGGGAGGCCCAGCGTGCCACGACACACATCCCTGCTGCAGGGGATGCAAAATCTATCATTACCTGTCGTGTATCCTTACTGGACGGGACAGACGTCAGCGTTGACCTGCCGGTAAATAGTGTTGCCACAGTTTGAGCCTAAGTTGTGTGTGTTCATTATTCCCATTCATTATTCTTTTTTCTTTTTTCTATGCCCACCCCCTCTGTTTCTTTTGCTATCCCTTGTAACTGGCTAGGAAGGCTTATAATACACTTGCTGTATGCATAGTTTTTGAGTAGACATCTAAAGCCATAGTGCCTGTGTCTTGCAAGGGATGTCCCTGTGTCTCTACTTTCCTTAAAGTGTGCATGCTGTTTTGGTGTTTTTAAGAGGACAGTCACTGCTCTGCAAGTTGATTAAACTTTCTAACTTTCTCTGTCAAATGGGCGTTAACCATAACCAGCAGTGAAAGCTGCAAAGTGAAAGTCCAAGCGCTGTACTAGTGACCATTGTGTGCCTGTGTCAGTAGAGCAGTAGTCCTTATGAGCCTGTGTAGTGGGTGTGTGGTAGTGCTGCTGATCACCTGTAATTCCATGATCCTCTCTAGAGAACACACTTAATCACATGACAGTATCATGTGACATGCAGGGCTCATTGCCAAGTGGACACAAAGCAGAACTTCACTCTCCTTGCTCTTCTGTCTTTCTTCTTCTTTTCTCCCCTCCTTTTTTCTTATGTTAGTTGTTTCTAGGGATGTCCCGATCCAGGTTTTTCACTTCCGATCCGATACCGATATTACAGCCTTGAGTTTTGGCCGATACCGATACCAATCCGATCCAAGCGTGTATTATACATATTCACTTATTTTGTTGTCAGTCATGTTAGAAAAGGTTTGATCAAGCAATATTACTCTAACAAGAACAACTACTTAATCGGGTTAGTTAGAATGATCCACAACAGTTGGTATGAGAAACTGACCTGTTTATTGTTAACAGGGTTAAATAAACAAACTTTAAACTTGAACATTAACATTAAATAAAAAATATAGCTGGTTTGCTTTGGCTGCTTTGGCCCCTTAATAAATAGAAAATAGATCAACACAAGAAATCTTTAAAATGTCTAACATTGAAATTAAAATAGCAGCAAGACACCACACACTTGTGCTTTGCCCCCTAATAAATAAAAAAAAGATCAACCCCACAAGACATTGTTGACATTTAACAAACAATGCAGCCTTTCCTTTTCAGTTATTTTAGTAGTGTCAGTGCCAGCCTGGTGCACAGGCACACAATTGTTTAAACAAGCAATAGTCCATCCATGGCTCCAATTTCGCTAATTGTGTCCAAAACAGTGCCATCAGTGCTCTTTACTTAAACAGTAAGAGTGTAAACCAAATAAAAATATCACTCTCAAAAAACCAGAGCAGAAAACAAATAGTCAGTTAACTAAGTTGACCGCTACTCTTCCTACCCTCCGTGTGTGTCTGCCATCTGCATGCTGGCCTGGTGGATTGATAGTAAGAGCTGGAGCGGATCACTTGAATGGACTGCTTGACTCGTGGAGCACTGGGCTGGTTGGAAAACCCGGATTCCCTGAAAAACTGGATCGGAGTTCTTGGATCAGCATTTTTCCATGCAGTCCGATCTGATGCCGATGCCTGTTTTTTGCTAGTATCGGCGGCCGATACCAATCCGATGTTCGGATCGGGACATCCCTAGTTGTTTCTCTGTGTTGCCTTTTCTCAGGCAAACACCAAGCTCCTGCTGGGAGAAAATGTCATGTGTATTTTTGTGTATAGTTGTGTAATTTTAGAACTGAGGGCGTGAATATCTGGATGTTTTGCCCTCATGTGATCTTTATTTTTGCTCGGCTTGCAGATTTTGCTACTTTGTGTTTCCACTAGCGTTGCATGTGTCAAATCTGCAGCCATGCAGTGGGACCAGTCTGGTGTCTTACTGTCCTGTATGACTCAATCTTATTTTGAAATCTAGCCGTCTGGTATGAATTATAAGGAGGATGTGTCGAGAGAATATATTTTCTCAGTGTTACTATATCTGTCTTATTAGTTTGAACTTCAGATGTTCACAAAACACTTTTAATTTTTTAATTCAAAGGAGATTACTCTCTACATTTAGGTCATTCTATATGCCGTAGACCAAGCAGTGATACTTAGGCATGACAAATGATACCAGTCAACAGTATAAGAGAATTCCTTACAAGCTTATTGAGCAAGAATGCATGAACATTTTTTTATTCCACACGTCTCACAAGTGATGTCACACATTTTTGAGACTAAGTGTAAGAGCTGCTAAATCATTAACATGTAGCTCTTCCTATCAGCTCAATATTGTGTGCAGAGTGGTGAGACATATTCAGTGTTTCTTCTAGTGGAATGTTATCTGCTTTGACTGTATCTCTCTCCGTCTCTCTTTTGCTGTCCGTCTTGTTTTTGGACAGAAATGGTCACTGGAATTTTTACAAGACTGTCTCACCATTGTTCATTGGGGTTTTTTATTTCCTATTTTATTGATGGAGTTAATTGACTTGGCACTAATGCTGTCATGCCTTAAAAACTTTCAGTCATTTGCTGTGTGCGCCTGAAGGAAGTTTTAAAATTCATTTGGATTTCTGAATGCATTCCAGCAGAGCCCTCTGCTTGTGTTTGGTTTCAAAATAAGCATTTTTGTGCCTCCCATCCCCCAGATATAGGTTGCCTCTGCAAACCTTTCTGTCTTATCATCCATCTATCTCTAAGTGATAGGACACTAACAAAAACTTAGTTAGGAGCATTGCTCTGTTTTCCTTCTAGATATCCATTGCACCAGTGACAGCAGCACCGAAAGCAGTTCAACACAACCAGGGAAGAACTGTAGAAGAGAAGCCGTCATAATATTGATTGACTATTTTGAATTAAAAATGATAAAGACAGTGAAGGCGGACAACACAAGATTCAAGTTGCATTATTATGGTGTAGGTCTGTCTTTCTCTAACATCTTAAAAGTAGGCAGTCTAACTTGTTGTCAGTCCAGTTGCTTCTTTTTTAACATTAATCAGAAAAATATATAAAGTTTCTCCTCTCTGTTGTGTCTGTGTTCTTGCCCTTCATTACATTAGAGAAGGGATACTCAACAAAAGTGCCCGGGGGCCACTTTTGCAAAATGACAGGAAGCCAGGGGCCAGATGCAGCAGTCCCACACAGGTCAGGTGTGCGCAGAGGTGTTTCTAGGAATTGAGGACATTTGGGGTATAGACTGAAGCTCTCTCAGGGGGTCCGGAGGATCCTTTTTTTGTGCACTCTGGAATTGTATCTATTTTAAAAGTAAAAAAAGAAACTCCCAGTGTGAATCAGTTGATTTTCATCGTGAAATAGGAAATGTTTGGGGGGCCATCCAGCTCCCTATAGGGGGCCAGATTTGGCCCACGGTGCGTAAATTAAGTATCATTGCGCTAGTCTGCATGTGTAGATGGATACTGTAGTGGATACTGAAATCGGTGGCCCCACTTTAGCTTTCCTGAGGTTGTATTAAACGGTCTTTCATAGCTGCTAGAAGCCGGACAAAAAAAAATACAGCAGAAGTATGTGATAAAAAAAATTTTAGGAGAATTTTGTCATCAATCCCTTGTTGTTGTTTTTTTGTAGCTTGTTTATGCGTGTGTATGATAATGTGGAGTTACTAATTTAGGAGTTTTAATTTCAGCCCTAATTTAGAAGATCTAGATAAAATACATTTTTATTCTTGCAGCAGAAGCCTTTTGGGGAAATGTCAGCTAGACCAGTGGCATTGTGCCTAATTAGTTAAGAGAACTGAATCGTTGATATTGATATTTTTAATGTTTTGTTGTTGTTGTGCTACTCTGTCTGAACTGTTCCTGAATGCGATGGGTAACATGGGGAGCTGAACATTTATTGGAGGAACAGTGTGAATATAGACACAGACAAATCCTCCTGACAGTAGAGAGAGAAGCAGCTGCCCACTATCTGTGTTTCAGCCGTGCTAATCATTTAGTTAACCAGACTCTGAGAAAAAGTTAAATTTAGCACATTTTTGCCTTTTGCAGGCAGTCGGTCTTTACTTTGAGTAAAGCATATGGTGTTAAACACTCCAGGGATTTTGAGGCAGGAGTGATGAAATCTATAAAACAAGTTCAACACAGTTTGGTTGTCAGTTAAATAGACTTTTTTGTAGTCTGGATTCATGTTGTATTGTTCAGCAAAATACATAAAAACCTTCCCATTGTTGTTTGTTTTGGAGTTACACAGTCAAGCATCTTGTCACTTCAACTCCAGCTGGCATAGATTTGTGGGGACCCCTACTAAACAGTTGCGTTTTCTTTTTTCTTTTTTCTTTTAGATGTTCAAGTGGTTGTAAATAGACGTTGGCCACAATCTAAAACTGAATAGGTCTCATTCAGATGCTTTACTGGCTTTCCAGCTGTGTCACCAGTATGTAAGGCCACCCAGAGTTGACTCCTAGGGTTACCTTTGTTTGGCAGCATCCATGTCCAAACATTATTCCACACAGCCTTATGATTCACATTCCTTCCTTTAAATTTCTTTACTTCTGTCTTTTCTCTTTATCTTTCTCCTCCCATTCCCCACCCACACTGTCACCTCCTGCAGCCTCCTTTTCTCTCGTGTAGATTTGAAGCCCATAGAAGAAGTTAAGCACATCCTAGCTTGATTTACTTTTACATAAAATAAAATCAGTCCTTCTGTTAATGTCAGTACAGCTCATCATTGGCAAGAAATCATTTGCAATGATAGAATAGTTGACTGAAAGATACAACACTTAAGTGAACTGTATTCTATTCATCCCCAGCTGAAATATTTTAGTATACTTTCATATTCATTTTTTGTATGTTTACCAAAAAGCAATTCAAATCAAAAGTATTTTTTTATTGGCAAATTTTACATGTGTACAGTGCAGCCATGTTGGCATCAGGACTCACTAAAGAAAAGTCATTGCTTTGTACTGGATGAGTGGTATTTGCAGGGTCATACAGCGTTTTTATTACTTTTATGGGCGTTTGAATTGAGAGAAGCTTGCTTGAATGTATCTCCTGCAGTGTAATAAGTGAGTAGGTTATGGAGAACTATTGTCATTTCAGCCAAACTATAAATGTCAGTCAAACTACAATTGTGAAGTGTGTAACATAAACCACATGATTTTCTCTCGTAAATCCCATAGTCTTCCACCTATCCTAAACATTTAAAATGGATGCATTGTACGCTGGTTGGTTAAATGGCCCCATGAATTGCTGTAAGATATATGAGAACATCAGCTAAATACCTCAAATGTAACTTAAACATTTGACACACAGTGTCTGAGAGACAGAGCTGTATGCTCACAGGCAGGCAGAAAGGCTGCAAACAGCCGAACAATACTGCAGGCAGTATAACAAGGCCTTGGGTGAAGCACACATTGCACACACACACACACACACACACACACACACACACACACACACACACACACACACGCACAATGAGTCCTTTGTACTCTCTCTCCCCGGGTACTGTAGGGGTGCGGTATGCCTTGTCAACTATGCCAGCTAGCATGGGGCCAGCCCCCCTGAGCTGCCCAGGAGCTCTCTTGGGGTGTGTGTGTTTGTGTGTGTGAGAGAGAAAGAGGGGGAGAGTGTGTGTGTGTAGGACAAACAGGGAGACTTTTAGAGGACCCATGCTCCTCTCCTTTACCTCTTGCAATTTTGCTGTGTTTCATTTTTCACCACTGTGATTTCTGTGGGTGACATTTTGTACATAGTTTGTAAAGTTTACCTGAAAAGTTAAAGACAGGACTACGAACTGATGAAACTGGTGCTGCCAATGCCAACGTTCTAATGCTGAGAGAACATCACCATTACAGTGCCTGAAAGCTCAATGAACTGAGCTGAATAATGTTGGAAACCGTTTTTGTTCATTTGGAAAAAGAACCATATTAAAACTTTGGTAGTAGAAAAATAAAACAGAAAAATGTGAGTTATTGTCGACCCGGTGGCACTGTAACTCTTGCAGTCAAGAGTTGCAGTGGTTAGTGCTTCATAGAGAGGCAAAGTCCCTCCCCTTCCAGTGTCCCCCATGTGACCTTATTTTGGAAGAAATATGTATGGTAGTCAACTGTGAGAGACAGATAATTTTTTTATCCTGTTTGAATTGTGCTATGGATTACATGTGATTTTTGTCAATTTGAAACAGTTTGTTGGTGTTTCATACTACCATTTAGTTTGTGTGAAGCTACCTCCCTTGCCTCCTGCAATAGAAATCACCAGCTAGCTAGCTAGGTAGTTTAGCGGTGTTCCACACATAAATGTAACCTTGCCTGTGTTTTATCCATTGAGTGCTGCTCTTTCTATCAGCTGAGAAGCGTAGTGAGCAAGACCTCCTACTCGTGTGTGTACATTTAGGTACAGAACACACGGGCATTGTAGCTTCAGCAAGAGAGAAAGCTATGGCATCATGTACGTGACTTGTGTAGTCTTTCTAATTATGTATTTTTACAGTCCTTTAAGTGTAATTCATTTAACAATAGAAAGGGATCAAAAAAATATTTTTCTCTCGTTGATCAGTATTGTGAATATTTTTTCCATAATAAGGTCCCATGGTTTTTCACTGCGATGTTGCTACTCTATTAAGTAAGCACACACAAAAGAAAACTTCCTTACACCCTAGTAATTTACTGAAGGGATACCTTTTAGTCTTGACTAATAACAGGCCAGTCACATGAATGTCATCATCAGTTACCCTGCGTTCTTTGTGGGGACTTGATGTTGATGTGTTACATGATGGCTCAAAGTGACAGTGAATTATAAATGTTGTGGTCCTGGTGGCTCTAACATGCTTTTGATGTTTATGAAAGCATGAGAGAAAACCCAGACAAGTGAAAGTGTTACAGATCATTTCAGTGTGAGAGCAAATATGGATGAAGAAAGGGAAAATCTCCAGTTGGAGAAAGGAGAGGAAAAAAAAAAAAAAAGTGCAGCTGCAGGCTGATTTTGGATGGCGAATTTTCCCAACATAGTGAAGGGCCCATAGAGCCAGATGATCACATGATGTATCCAGCCACCCCACTCCCCTCAGCTCCTCGGCGTCTGGGGCACTTCAGCCCCCATTGCCATGGCAACCCTGTCGCTGTGCCTCATGGTGGGGTTTGGAAGTTGGATGCCTGTGTGTGTGTGTAAGTGAGTGCACATGTGAGGGAGAGATCTCCCAGTCCCAGGCACAACACAGGCAGTAACTGGTACGGCCTTGTCAGGAAGGGCAACACCTATTTAAACTCAGAGTACCTCATGTCAGTAGGTTCTCATATCTCACTGTTCAAATCTGTGAAACATGAATCAGAGCATGTACACTTAAACCAGGGTGTGCTCAAAACAATACTTTGGAGAGGTACAAAATAGAGGCTCAACCTTTTTTTTGGTCTTGTGAGCTCTATCAGACTTAATAGATGTAGACTTAAAAATGTTTTGATTAACTACTTCTAAAGCAAGTAACTTAAGACCTGAAATTATTAATGGTTTAGGTCATACATGGAAAATGAATCTGCAACTATTGTGATATAAGACAATTTGTTTGTTACAGATTGTTTTTGTTTTTTTTGTGCAAAATATATGGTAGTTTCAATTTTTTTTTTTTTTTTAAACTTAAACTACATAGGAATTCACAGCTACTGTTTTTAAATAGTAGCCTATTGTCAGTAAAAGTGAAAGCTGATCTTTTTGTTGTTCATCTCGCTATGTTCGTAGCTTCCTCTTGGATCCGTGCTGGCTACCAGTCTGGCACCTGGTCATTACATTTTTATAAAGTCCTGACCTCACCTGTGCGCTGGGCCCAGGAACACCCTGACCACAGCAAAATAAGAAAAGAAGCTAATACAGGCAGAGGGGAGGGGTTTCTGCAAATAAATACACCCCCTACACACTTCAAGTGGGTCCTAAGTGATGATTGAGAGGGATTACTTTTGCATGAGTCTGTAAATTTTTTTTTGTTGTTGAGGGAAATCCTGCATAGTATAACTTTTAAATCTGATTTAATGAATGACATACATGATAGTAAACTGAATATTTTGGGGTTTTCAAATGTTCATTCACCTTTTACTGTGGGAGGTTATCAAGGGCCTTTTTTGCTTATTTTCTTATATTTTATAGACAAATCACTTCATTAAGAAAGAAATAAGGAGGTTAATTGTTGACGAAAATGATAATTTGTTGCAGCACTACTTGATTTAACCTACCAGCAATGTGTGTAAAACCCTAACATCATGACCCTGGGTGAAAAAATGCGTAACTCAGTTCAGTCCTCTTTTTGTCTGTGTGTTCCCTGATCAGAAAAAAGCCAAAGGTGAGGAGCTGTTTGACCAGATTATGTACCATCTGGACATCGTAGAGAAAGACTACTTTGGACTACGCTTCATGGACTCGGCACAAGTGCCGGTAAGAATGGAAATACACTTATTACAATGATCTCTTATTATTTTGAACTGTTTTATCTCCATACTGTGGGTTGGTTAATTGATTGGGTTGCACAGTTTATTTCATATAATTAGTTTTATGATTTTCTTGTTTCCGCAACTAATCTAATGATAAAATTGGCTTGTCAACAAGGTTAAAACATTTGGAAAAATAAATATGATCAAAAATACCTTGCAATGGAACAAAGGTAATGTTGTTTTGTGATTGTTGACGCTAGTTATTGCAATTAATCACAATATCTACTGTACTGAACTAATCAGAATTCTATGTATGTGTTCAGTACATTTCACCACTTCAGGCAGTCCTCTCTGTTCACAGCCAGACTTCAGATTTCAGTTCAAATCACTACTCCCCCATCTGAAGGAAGGCTTTAGGCTGGGACTTTCCCTGAATGGGCTAAAGGGATTGGTTATGGGACTGTTGTCAGCTCCGGGAGTCAGGCTGTGCTCCGAGACAAACTGTTTTAAGTCATTGGTCTGCCAGTGACCCTGTTCCTTCACCCTGATGCTCTGTGAAGGCCATGGAAGACGGGAAAGCTGGTGGGAGGATGTAAGAGAAGGGAGGGACATCAAGGAGAGGGGTGGAGGTAGAGAGTTAAAGGGCTGGGAGGGAGAACTGAAGTCGAGAGAGAGGGAGAGAGGGAGGGCTGTGATGAGGAATGTGGGGGAGAGGAGACTGCGAGTTCTTCTGTTATCTCTCTCTGTCTCGCTCTCAAACTTACATATGCACACACACCACTGCCTCTCCTTGGCATTTTTCATGCCTCATAGAGCCTAAACTTCCAAGAAGAATTACATCACAGAACACTGACTTTAGTGTGTGTTTGTGTGTGTCTGTGTGTATATTCACAAAGGACCTCCCAGAATTCAACCTTTCATTAATGTAACTGTCCACTTTCTGTCCCCAGTTCTTTTCTTTTTTCAGTCATCCAGTTGCACATATGAATATTTAATGTTTGTGTTATGTAATATATCTACATTGTTGAAGATGCTGTGTTTTAAAATGGCTATTATTCTTATGTTTTTTCAGCACTGGCTTGATGTCACAAAAAGTATCAAAAAGCAAGTAAAAAGTAAGTATACAGTACAGCGCCCCTTCCTCTACCCACTTATTTTCCTCTATCTGAACATGCATATTTACTCGCTATATATCAAAACATATCATGGAAACAACAGTTCCTTTTAAATCTCTTTAGTATTAAACAGAAATGTTTCTTGTGTATAACAATTTATTGTAAGTATTTGTGTGTGTTTAAATGAAAGTGGTGCTTCTGGTTTTTAAAAGACTTCAGTTTACTAAAAAAGGTACATAAAATATGATTGTTAAGCTTTATAGCATTTACTCAGCTGTCATTTTATCTGTATTTAGTTGGCCCACCATATTGCCTTCACATGAGAGTAAAGTTTTACTCCTCAGAACCGAACAACCTGCACGAGGAGCTCACCAGGTGAGTGAAGCCACAAACATTTGAACTCACTTTCTCTTGAACTCACACTGTAAAAGTGACAATGGGTCTTTTGAGGTTGTTTATTTTGTTTATTTGTTCATCTTGTATAACTTAAATGAAATCATATTGTTTGTCTTCATCACCATGTTTAACTCTATTGTTTTGTTTTCTTTCAGATACCTATTTGTGTTACAGTTAAAGCAAGACGTCCTCAGTGGCAAGTAAGTGATGCCCTGCATTTTAACCTTTAACTGCCATTCACCTTTATGAAATACTCTGCACAGAATTTTTTATTATCATGATGTTATGGAACTTCAAATAAATGATCAGTGAGAAAGACTGAAAGACAGATAGATGGTTAACTTGCTATAACATTAAAGAGACTTGGCGGTGGTTTGTCAGTTACATATTTTAAGAAGTTAACACTTTAGGTGCTGCTAGTAGATCATTGTAGAAGTCTTTTAAAACAAACAAGCTTAATCGACACTATTAGGAAAATCCCTGGGAAATGTTTTCCTTATAGTTAAAGCTAAGAAACAATTACTCACCTAATGAAACTATTTAACAACCTTAAAGGAAGTCCATCTGCATTCTTTTCCATGTTTTTTCAAGTGGCCACTCAGCCATTGGCAAAAAGCAGTGACAGGTTTCAGTGGTGACTGCTTGTAGTAATAATAAGATAAGATAAGTCATAACTGAAAGAGCAAGTGTGAATTTTTTTGAAGTGGGATTGCATGAGATTCTTATCCATAGTCGATGTAATATTTTCACCACTTTACCTTGCTGTCAGACAGCCCCTCCTGACAAGGAACTGAAGCCTTGATACACTGTCTTCAGAGCCACCAGACTTCTTTAACAAAAACAGTTATTTTACCTCACAGAACACTGAAGTTGGTGGTATATTGCTGCCTCAATCAGCTAGTCATTCCACTGCATGACTCTCAGATCTGAACTGACATGGCATCCAGAGCAGTACATTACTAAGCCTTCCTGCTGATTTGGGGGTTGGAGTAATATAGGTAATTTGGGAGATTGATAACACACGATTCTCAAAGAAGGCTTGGCACAGTCACGAAGATGCACATAAGGCAAGCTGGGGAGTTTATGTATCATCATGCAGAATGTCAGGTCACATGGCAAGCTACAGAAAGACATAAAAACCAAAAAAGATGAATACAAAAGTGGCCCACCCTTTAAATGCGTGACTCTCTAGTTCAGGGTACTTGCTTCCATGGTTGTTTAACACATTCGGATAAGTTATCCAGTCTTTTTGTCAGATTTTATCACAGTGAAGAAACACAACTTGCCACTCATTGATGGCCCAGGTCAACATTTTATCGGCCCCTTCTCAGTCGTTATGTTTGATTTTTTTTTTTATATAATGGAATATAGTAGTGTAGTTAGTCTGTCATTTAAATAATTATTTCACTAACTAACTTTTAAATCACTTGACCAAGACAATACACTGTATTGCATTTATTATCCCTTTAAACATGAGTTGTTGTGTTTGTAGTCACGGCCATAAGAGGCTTACAGGATTACATGATGGGGAACAGAGAAGAATTATTAACAGTAGTCAGTAAGTGGACTGGGAATATCAGTGCAAGTTTTACTACAGAGGAACATTTTTGCATTGTTTGGCTGAAGAATAATAGGGAGTGGTAGAGACCAGCAGGCCTCAGTGAAGATCACAGGGGGGTTTTAGTGGCCTGTGGCAGCGTTTTAGCTTCATTAATGTTACCATCTCTTTATTTTCAGGCTAGAATGTCCATTTGACACAGCGGTGGAGTTGGCTGCCTTCTCGTTACAGGGTAAGCACAGCAGGTATTCAGGATTCTCTCCAACTCTGTGTTTGGTAATTGGGCTCACCTCCGTAATAGCTGCCATTATTTTGTTTGTTGCGGTGCACACTCCCTCGCAGAGTTGAGATATGTACTGTGCCCACTGCACAGAGCCTCAGAAGGCCTGTGTAGCAGAAATACAGCATGTGTTTGGACCACTTACTGTGGTGTGAGTCAGTCATAGGTCAGAGCATGGTACACTCACATACCAAAAGGATCTGTGATTTTCAATCTGCAGTGACTAGGTCCTTATCCGAAGAGCTACATTCTGTTTGTCTACATAGCTTAAATCTGTTACAACCATGTCACATGCCTAAAAGACATTGTTTGCTACCCCTACATTTACTTTGTAACTGATGAACCCATAATTCAATGTCCACACATCTCAGTTGAGCTGTGTCTCAACAAAGTACTCACCTGACAGATCCATTTAATAAATGTACTCCCAAGCCCAGCTGCAGGAGTGGACCCTTGTGTCTCTGTTCCACAAGAGTTTTCCTTGATCTTTTCAAACCAGTCATGGCTGTCTTTGTAAATCACCATCTTCTTTGACTGATGCTGCTGGCACCAAGGCACATAAACCCCTCCACTACAATAAGACTGCAAAGCATGAAGTAGTGTCGCTTTGGGTAACAGAAGAAAGAATGAGATTGCAGACACATGTGCCTGAGGCGTGATTTTCTCATACTACATTAAGGGGGAAAACTCAGACTTTAAGAAAAACGTTAGAATTGAGCTGTTGCTCCTCTGCATTAAGATGCACCAGCTGAGGTGGTGTGAACAACACGTTGCAACAAGAGAAGCTGAAGGATGTTGTTGGGTAAAGATATATTTGAGGTTCTCTTCCTGCCCATTCCCACTTCAACCTAAACTAGAGAATGAGCAGGTATTTGTATAAATTAATTATATGACTAATTAGAAAAAACGTTTATTAGAACACCTAAGTGGAGACTTTAATGATAATAATGTTTTTTTCAGTGCTAATGCACTTGGTCAGGAGAACACATATTTTGTCACAGCTAATTTTTGGTTAATCTTTCCGCCGATTTAAGTGCACATGTATTTTAATTATCCTGAATCCAAGTGCAAGAACTTTTTTATATTACCCCTCAGGCTAAAAAACTTAAAAGAAGTAGGACATTTTAATTCTTTCTCTGACCACTGGAGCTCTGTTAATTCAGTAGTATTGTCAGTCAAATGTCTGTGTAACCACAGGAATATTATCTCCTGTTGCCTCCCAAAATTTGCTTATCAAAGTTACAGTTGGGAAATTGAGAGTAGGACAGCCTGGTGTCCATTGCAGGACAATTAATGCTTCCATAGCTACATACAGTACATTTAAAAACAGACTAGTAGAGCAGAGCTTGGGCTTTCTCTTCTCCCAACTGCTGAATAGTGAAGAGCCTATAGCTTTTAAACTACACATATTTATTTTTTATTAAGGTTAGAAATGTAACATTTAACTACAAGAGCAATATAAAGAGTGCTGCTTCAGAGAAACAAAGTTTGAATCATTAGACATTTATGGAATGGGATTGCGTGCCCAAACTCTTGAGCACACACACAGAGACACACAGTCACTGTGGGGTAAATGCCAGCTCATTAGTGCTCCGTCCTCTTTGGAGGCCCCCTAATCCAGCACCCTTTCTATCTTCTCTTTTTCCTTTGGTTGAGCTTCCTCCCTTCATTTTCCTTTATTCAGAATTATGTTTTGGTCCACTGACAATTGCTGGGATAGGGATAGGATAAAATTATCTTTTCACTCCTCTTTATCCTGAGGCTATGCTCACAGCTGGACTAGCTAAACAGTGAGGTCCTAGTTTCTCTCGTCTACCAAAACACTGTAAAGTGTAATCAGGGCAAAGGCTTTTCAGTCTTTGTTCTGTTTCTTTACACCATAGTACCAGAGATAAGAGTTTTCTCTTCCCCAATGTCTTCTTTTCACACTATTCTTATCTAGTGAAGATTTATGTGTTGTTTTTCATGCCAGAAAAGAAGAAAAGCACACGCACATCTCATTCATAGGTGCTGAGTCCCTAAAATAGAAGTAGGCAGGTAGAAGACTCGCCACACTGCAGCTCCTGGTAGAAGAATTCTTTTATTAAGTGACTACATAATAATTGAAGATTACATAATAGATAAAGACAACATTTCGAGCCCAAAAGGGCTCTTTGTCAGGTCAGTGATTAGACAAGTGTGTGCAGGTGTTCATCATATACACATTGAGGATCCACCCATAGGTGTGGTCAAAAAGATGAAGACAAACAAGCAGACACAGCTGATGATCACAATGGCACTCATACTGTACAATATACAAGTAAAATACCAAAAAAAATTCAAATAACATGTACAGTATAAAAATAGGGATTCTGTCATTTAATAGCTGCAAATTTGATAAGAAGGGGCTTAACCCGTCTCAAAGAAAGGAATAAAGGCCTGTGTAAACAAAAAAGAAAAAATCTCCACTAACAAAATTTAAGTGACTCAAACGAGGACAAAACTAATGAAATAATAATAATTCGAAAAATGTAAGAAAAACATATATTATGGTTGTCTGGGGAATAATAATGAGGCAGCCTAAAGCTGTCAGTTGATGAAGAATCAAGTGCCCCTACCCTATGAAAAAAGGGAAATGATATTAGAAACCAAATATCAAAATTTAGACATTGTTTTTCATGCCTCAATCTTCATTTTGTTTCCTTTTTTCACCTCTTAAAATTCATGACCTTTTGTCTAAAGAGAGAGATCAGATAAACATCAGTCCCTGACCTGATGCTACACAACATTATGTGTGCAGTGACATGGAGGAAGGATTTGTTTATTATTTTGTCCATTAGGATTACCCACTACCACAGTATCAGCCACTCATCCTGGGGTTCTCTTCCAGGGGTTGAGGGTCGGGGTCGTAGTGAACACAAAAGTATTATTGTAACAATGCCCCTCAACAAATCTATCTTGTGAATCTGTTGCTCAGAGTGTAAACTGACAAGTATGCATGTGTGTGTATTTTCAGCTGAGCTAGGTGATTGTGACCCATTAGAACATAATCTGGATCTGGTGTCAGAATTTCGATTCGTCCCCAACCAGACAGAGGACGTGGAGCTAGCGATATACAACGCATGGAAGGAGTGCAGGTAAGCATTTTGCTATATCTTAACTACTGCCTGTTAGGGATGTCATGATTACTTGATTTCACTATTAACCGCGATTTTAAACGCCACGGTTAATTATTCGTAAAGATTCCTCAACATCGTCTCTCTCAAAGATTATGCCGGGACGCGGAACCATATACAGTAGGTCAGCGCAACTCGCCCGGAACGAAAACAAAGTTACACAAGCGGCGTCTCCGAGTGATGAAGGCCCAATTCCAATCCGATCCCTTACAGACTCACTGACTTAGAGGCGCGTTCATGTTAAGTGTGTGAGTGTGTGAGGGCTGTCCCATTGTCAAATCGTCAAGTCAGTGAGAAAGTGAGTGAGCCCTTTAAGCCCCCTTACCGTAGGTCAGCATCGATGCAGACTTACGGTAAGGAAATTACCCACAGTTCATAGTGTTGTGACGTCAAATACAGGGGTTGTTCTAACCCCTAACCCTAACCCTAAAAAAACGAAAACACGGTCGGCAGATATGCAAACGGTAATGTTATGGAAGGAGAGCGAAAAAAAAACAGATAAACAATGAAACATTACATTAACAAGGATAAAAGATGGTACATAAACACACATGAAGTCAGAGGAATACCAGTGGTTATATTCCACACACAAAGAATAGATATCTATATAAATATAGATATATATTCTTTGTGTGTGGAATATATGCTGACAATAACTGATAAATGATCACGCCCAGAGCCGCCAGTGTTAACAACATTTTGTAGAGAGGGGGATAAGTTCTGTCCCATTCCTATTTGTAGCATCCGGAGCCCTTTCAGACTCTCACACTCAATCACTTACAGCTGACGCCAGTTAAGACAGGGAGGGTTCAGGGCTTGAGTCTTTAGGGGCCGGATTGGAATTGGGCCGAAGTATGGGTGAAGAAGACTTTCTCCCCCCCCAAAAAACGGATAAAGTCAGCCGTGTGGTATCATTTTGGCTATCGCAAAATGACCAAGGGGGGTCATTGTTGACAACAGCTTTCCAGTTTGTAAAACATGCCACAAAAAAGTCGCGGCCAAAGGATCAAACACGAGCAACATGATACAACACCTGCGGGACAACCACCCGGCTTTACATGCGCAAGTAAAGGTAAATGTAATGTAATGGTTTTGGGTCAGTGTAGCTCTTTGGAGTGAGACGACAGGCAGAAACTCACATCCACACGAGTGCGGGATTTCACAAATGTTCGTCGTTTATTTTTACATCAACTTAAAAACACCAAGCTCCAAGCTTACCAAGCCCGGTTGTACAGCTACTACATTTTCATACATGAACAAAAAAGTCACCACACATACTTAAAACCATCACTGTTGTGTTGAGGTTCCGGTGAGAGAAAATTAAATAAACTGTGTGCACGGTTTTGCAATCCGTGGGGACGGATTTTAAACTGTGGGTACAGATTGTCAATTTACATCCATGTGGACAGGTAAGTAAACTGTGCGCAGTTTTGCAAAACTGTACCCATGGTACACAGTTTATTTATTTTTCTCCCCCCTGAGCTTCAGGACAATGACTACAAGAGGGAGTTAAACCACTTTTTAACATTATTTAACATTAGAAAACAGAGGGGATATCAAATATAGACTGATGTACCAAGTACATTATATACACAGTAAACTTCTGATAATTAAAATTTGCACACACAAATAAATATCATTCTGAATTCACAAATTCTTTATTTATTATTGCTTTTTATGCACTCATCTAAGTTTTTACTTTTAGTTACAGGACTGACATTTTCCTAACCAGAAAAAAAATACATTACCCTGCTCTGCCTCTGATTGGCTAGTACTCGTTGCCATCAGGGTCAGAGCCAATTAGAAGCAGGATGCGGGTGGGAAAAAACTCTGCTGTCTCCTGTGTGTATTGGGAAAGGGGAGGGACAGAGGGAACAGGCAAGACAAACTATCCTACGTAATAACGTATCGAAAATATCTGCTTGACAACTTATTATGGAGCTGGGAACAAGCCCAAATAAGCAACTACGCTTTAGAAACAAGCCCAAAAAAAACGCGACCCGCGACTACCAATATTTGTAAGCGACTTTACAGAAAAACAAGCCCAAAGTCGCTTATAATAAGCGGACTTGGCAACACTGGACTCAAATCATAACAGGCACTGCTTGATGATGTTGCTGCTAGACGACACAGTATACACCATGTTAAAGGCACATTTCATGTATTCAGATTCAGATTCAGATTCAGAATACTTTATTAATCCCCGGGGGGATATTCGACTGTTACAAGTTCAAATCTTTTTTTTAGTCGTCAGACTGTTTCAGTGTCAGTGTGCAGTGTGGAAGATATACATAATGTCTTCTCAAGGTCCTCAGTCAGTGAACATTTAGCATTGGTATTACCTCCTTTTGCTTCCTCCCATCTGTGTTGAGTAAATGTTGGACTTGTCCTTCGTGCACTATGTCTGTTTCATTTATTATTAACACTGCACGAGATATGCTCTCAATTTATTTGTGTAATTGTAATTTAAAGAGAACAAAAAGACATGCACATCCTAGAAAAAACTTCAACTGCTGGACCACAAAGAGGCATGTAGTAAAAGTAGAGTCCGCACACTACTTTTTGGTTACTTTTCTTTGTTGCTATATTATTTTTGTTATGTTGGCATGGAAATAAATGAAACTTAAAGATCTATAAGGAGTGTTCATGTGATTTTACACATTTATAGTGTGAAATTAATTAATGCATTAATTAATGCATAATAATCGTGATAATTGTAAAACCAATAATCGTACCAAGAAAATCTATAATCGTGACGTCCCTACTGCCTGTATGGCTGGTCAGTTAAGCTGAATATTAACAAGGACGAATGCATTTACAAAATGGCCACAACTAGCAGATATCTTATTATAATAAATGGATGTGCTTCATTCTGTAGTCTGTGTGTTGTCCGACCTCGGCCTGCATCTGGCAACACTGCAAAAATACCACTTCCTCATCTCTTCAGCTTGGAGCTGCCGTGTTGTTTTTGATCATGCAAACATTTCTTTCTGTTTTTTCTCCTCCTCTCCTTCAGAGGTCAGATGCCAGCACAAGCTGAAATTAACTACCTGAACAAAGCCAAGTGGCTAGAGATGTATGGGGTTGACATGCATATGGTCAAGGTAATTGAGGCGCACTCTTTCTCATTAGCATGCACTGTATACCCTGAATCTGAAGTTTCCTTCATGAAAGACGGGAAGTGGAAGGAATGTGCATGAACATATATCTAAAAAATGTTTTTTGGTGTCTTCTTTCATATCTGCTTTGTAGGCAAGAGATGGTAATGAGTACAGTCTTGGTTTGACTCCCACTGGAGTTCTGGTGTTTGAAGGAGAAACCAAGATAGGACTCTTCTTCTGGTATGTTTGGTTATGTCCTCATTTATTGAAATATTTACATAAATGGTTTATAGAAACACATTTGAGTCTTCAGTATTCCTTCATCTGTGTGTGGTTGTTTGTTTTGAATGTGTGTGTGTGTGTTTGTATTGTAGGCCCAAGATCACTCGTCTGGATTTCAAGAAGAGCAAATTGACGCTTGTGGTCGTGGAGGACGATGACCAAGTGAGCATGAGCACTCACAGTCAGATACTTGCCATGCGGTACAATGTTAAAAAATGCAGAGCATGCAATCAGTCAACGAAGTAATCCCTCTTGATAACAGTGTATTAATGACTCCATCTCAATGCTCCCTACATATGGTGCTTATAATGTAATGAATGTACTGCACTTGCCTCACTTTGCTCCTATTCCCAGTAGGGGCATTAAAATGAAGGCCACACCTAAGTGCATATTAGCAATTCTTTGCAGTTAATTATGGATGGCATCATAAGCACTTTATGCAAGAGTGGGCTTGTGAATGATTTTGAAGGAGCATCCAACCATCATATATGGGTATCAAACACCAGCCAGCCTCAACTAAGTTTGTAGCTTTGCAGAGGATGGCAGGAACAATAGTGACATGGTTTCATGGTTTAAAAAAAAAAGGATTAAAGTCGGCACAGAAACTTCTCAAGTCAGTCCCACCGCATTGTCACCTTCTCTGCTGTCCATCTGTACACACAGTAGGTTCCAATTACACGGCAGACCTTTGTGAAAATATGACAAATTGTGTCTAAATACACAGCTTTGGTTTGTTGATTGTGTGGCAAGCTGTTCATATCTGTCATTCACAACCAGCACAAGCATTTGGGACAAGAATAAATATCTAACCACAGTACCACAGTGAATACAAGTAGAGTTCAACTGCAGTCCTCTTTTGAAGTGCAAAAATATGTAGTACTTAAGGCTATAAATTGTACAAACAGCTTGTAAAATTAACCCATGGTCCCATCACATCTTTCCTCTTACAAAAAAAAGGAAACAACTAAATAAACAAACAAACCGTCCCTTAAAGATCCCAACATTTACCACATTTCACCACATTTCATAAACAGATAATAATCCTGACAGGACAAAGACAAAGTATCCCAACAGGCTATTAAAAAAGAAATCACTTAAAAGAACTGTACAAACAACTAATATTCCTCTTAAAACCTTTGTTTGAAGCAGTGCCTGAGCCCTGAAAGAGGCTGCTTCCAAATCAAAATGAAACAAGGCTTAGTATTGTATTACCCAGAGGCCAGTGTATATGAGAGAGAAGGAGAGTCTGTTTATGTCCATCCTGGAGGTCTGTGGGTGAGGTTAATAAAGAAGCCTGCCCCCTCTGGTATTTCTGGTATGCACCATTCTCCTGCACACACACAAAATTGCACACACACACAGAGTTTTTGGCTCCCAACTTCTGTTCTAAAGAGTTATATACTGTATGCTGGTCTTTTTACCACAGGCATTTACTGTATATACTTTGATTCTCTCCATCAGCGTGCTTGTTTGTCACACACAGACCTGAACCAGAGATCAGAGATGTAACCAGAAGAGAGAAGGCTGGCTTTGTCAGGAGTCATTGCATTAAAATGGCTGCACATATTTTGAGTAGGTCTGGGTTAAAATAATCGATGCATCTGATTCAAATCGATTTTCTTTGTATGATCCGATATGGATTCGTAAAATCTGAGATTCTGAAATTTGCCTTTTCCCGTGGATGTGTGTAGCCTTCAACTTGTTAATCTCGCCAGTTTTAAACGGGCCCTTGAACTAAATTATTAAAGATTGTAGCATTTATCCTCCTCAATGTTTAATGTTTAGTCGTAACTTGTTAAAAAACCTGCAGCCTCTTCCATGCACTCTGTGTTGGGGCTGCAGCTGCTCCCCCACATACACATACTCATACAAATGCAGAGCGGACAGCCTGCAGATTACTCGGGTTTACACCATCTGTGCTCATTACTATAAGTGCAATAAACCCATTGGGAGTAAAAATGCCAGTAACTTTATTAATACACCCGTTCAACAAGCATGAACACATAAACATTTAGAGAAGCAATATTTCAGTTGGCTCTGTCCACAGTCTTTCATTCACTACCACTGTTGTTATGCTTTACACAAGCACCGCAAGCTAGCTCAGCTAATAAAGATTGTTACATTCAAGCTAAAACAACAACAGCTGTTTAGCTTAGCTTACCTGCAGGCAGTGATTATATCAGCAGCAGAGGGAGGAGCACAGATGACAGGATGAATGACTGATACTAAATAATGTCTGTGTTTTTATTATTTTTAAACTTTACAGAGTAGCCTATTGTGACGTCAGGAACATTATTTTTTATTTTATTGACATTTTAGATTTGTTTCCAGTCAGATATTATTGCGTTTAATGACTTTGCTGTTGTAAACATACACATACTGTTGCTGCTCTAGTAATAAATAGAGCCAGCAATCATAATCAACTTATCGAATTGATACTGCATTCAATCAAAGCAGGACCATGAGAATCAAAATTAAATTGATTCTGGAAGTTAGTGGTGATTACCAGTCCTAATTTTGAGAGTAAATCGTGTCTGTCCTCTGTAAGTGGATTGAGAAAGTGAAACAGTAACATCCTGCTGTCAAACCAAATTCCTAAGAACAAGTGGCTGGTTGGAATGTTTCTAAGAATGTAGTTTATCTGCAAGCTCATGCTTCACTATCTCTGTTCAGGTATTAAATAAGTCTGCCGTTGTTACTGTCAGAGGTCTTTGGAAAGACCCAACCTCCTAAAAACCAGAGGACCTAACTGGCTCCAAGTTTTGTTTTCTAGCTCACCATAGTGGTGATATAGTATGAGCAACACATGGTTAAGTTTTTTTGTCTGTTTGGGTGAGATAGTCAGGGGTCTTTTTCGGGAAGGATGTAAATTTAATACCTCAGCGAGAAATCAGACTTACAGAGGAAGCACCTGTACACTGTTATACAGCCACTCACTCCTCACATATTAATCTCTTTCTACAAGCAAGAGCTAGCATATTAGCTTTTACTGAAAATCTGTTGGCTATGAGCTTCAAATGACTCTTGTGTGTTGAATTTGATCTTGTATAACCAGTAGGTGACAGACACTGTGGTTTCAGGTTTCACTCTACCTGGAGATGTTCACTTTGTAAAGTATCTTCTCTGTCTCAATCAAATTTAACCTTCGACCAATCCTCCTCAGGGCAAGGAACAGGAGCACACCTTTGTGTTCAGGATGGACCATCCCAAGGCCTGTAAGCACCTCTGGAAGTGTGCTGTGGAACACCATGCTTTCTTTAGGCTGAGAGGGCCGGTACAAAAGAACTCTGCACGCTCTGGATTCATACGCATGGGATCACGCTTCAGATACAGGTAACAGAGAGATGTGCTCGCTGACCAGATATACTGGATGCTTCTGAATCAGGCACTTTTTTTTTTTTGGCTGGATAATTGGTACACAAGGGTTGCAATTTTTGTGTCAAGTACTCAGAGCTTAAAGCTCTCCGGCAATGTTAGATTCACCAAATAAACTCTGCATGCGAAGCCCATGGCAACAGTACCAGCACAGACATTTGCTGGGAATGAGTTTTACCTAATAATGTTTAGCCTTGCGGAGCAGCATTTCAGGTGTTTGCAATGCCTAAAATATTCACTCCTGCATGTATTTTGAATGTTTTATTGTGGAACTACAGTGAATGAAATCAGAATTTTTTTCCCACTCATCAACTTAAACAAACTGATGTGAAAGTAAAAACAAATCTCTAATTTTTATCTAAATTAAGTACAAATATAGAACACCACATAAATGTTTCTATGACTATGAGCCCTTTAAATACAACACACTGAAATCATCACTAGTGGTGCAAACTACTTCCCCAAATCACATCATAAATTGAATCAAGAACAACTTTGTACAGACTTTTTACAAGCAATTCTATTACATGTGTATCTGAACGTTCCAACTGTTTGTTGTTTGACTTTCACATTAACAAGTCCCCTTCTGTTGATCAAACCATCTGGTGTCCAGTGTGTTTGGGGCTGCACATCCTGAGCACTGGTGGCTTCAAATTGAAAGAACATTGCAGTTGAGATTAGCTTGGGGAACAAATGCATCTGGACTATCTTAAAAAGAGGACTTGGGGTTATGCTGAGATAGATAATTCAAAGAGTCATGTGTTTGTTTCTGTACAGTGTGTTTGAACATACAACAGAGATATCCATAGTTTAACACACAGTATCATTCTCTGTACATACAAAAAAAAAAAAGACCCACATGTGTACACACAGATACTTGCAGTGGTACAAGACAGGCGCTCAGTATCGACATGCTGCAGTAGCCAGCTAGTTCCCTTCTCTGTGTGTTTAAACATTACCCAGTTGGATAAGCATTGACAGTAATGTTGGTTTTACACAGAGGTTACAGGGTTTGTTGTTAATAGAAGGTTATCGCTTGGATGGGTCCAGAGTTCAGCAGGGGTCAGCACTGTGCCTTTTGTTTGTCGGACAATTAAATGTATCCAGTAATCTAAAAGGTTTGTTTTATATTTAATGATTTTTGCCTGCGTATTACAGGGGCAGGTGTAAAATAACTTCCTGTTTCTGTTTATGTGACCAGTGGAAAAACGGAGTATCAGACAACCAAGGCCAATAAAGCAAGACGGTCAGCCTCCTTTGAGAGAAGGCCCAGTCGGCGTTACTCCAGAAGAACCATGCAGAACAGAGGTGAGGAGAACAATCACACACCTGCACAGCACATGTGAACATACTGCCTACATACATAACAGTCAGTATCAGACATAAAATACATTACAAAAAAATATACGATTGCAAGCACATGTATACATGATATGTATGATATGACACAGTACCTTAAATATGCACAGATGCTTGCATCTTTAAAGCATGTATATTTGTTTATATTTTTGGATCTATCTGAACTGAACACTTACTGTCTGTTCTTTGTGTTTTTACAGGACCGATCCATCACCAGGAGTAAGTACACTGCACTGTTATTGAACTCGCCTGATTGAATGACTTAGCTTTAATTTTAATGTGATCACATCCACATCAGTTGATTTGCGTGGAAATTATATTTCATTTTTCATTCTCATCAGTTGTTGTAGCACTGCTGCTGTTTAATTCTGATTACACTGTCTTGTTTGTGATAAAAATAACAACAATGGAAAGGCTTGCACTGGAAATTGCTCAGTTACGTGTTATACAAATGTATCCACAGTTATCTAGCACTGTTGCTCAGTGCTGTGACTCTCACACACACTTTCTCTTAGTTCATTCAGTTACACCATAAGCCTCCACTGTAATCTTGTTATTGAGGAAGCCTTTTGTTACAGGGAGATGTGTGTGGCCTAAAGACATGATGTCAGTGAAATTTTAAGCTGTCATGGGACAAGTTGACTCAAAGCATAGGAACGTGATGATAAATGTCCCTATGACCCACACTGTGACAGCTCCAGTAATTTTGTGGCAACACATTTACAGTATTTAAAGCTATGTCTAAAGGATGTAGCATTGCCGTCTTAAATGAGGATGGGGAATCTCAAATTGGCTCATGGACAACCTGGTAGACTCAAAATAAAAAGTACATAATGTATTGTCATAAATGTGTCCAAATTTGCCCCAAAATGTGGTTCATGTGTCATGGCTGAAGCCACCATGGCCTGAAGGCTAGACACAAACTATGAGCTCTTCATTCCATGGTGGCTGCTCAGCCAAATTAACATGGTCAGTGTGCTCTGTGAAAAGCACTGTGGGAGTCCCTGGTTTATTTTTAAACATGCAGACAACACTGAACACTACTTCAGTTTTTTATTGTATTAATCTTTGTACACTATTATATATTCTTTAGAGGTGTTTGCTATGTATGAATTCTGTGAATAAAATCTCAATTTCATTCTTTGCTCAGGTTTCTGTCCTCAGGCAATGGAGTCAGCAAAGTCAGCAAGGTGAGGAGAAAGGCTTCTGTGTGTGTGTTTTAATCCCTGTTCGATTATACAAGGAAACAAAACAAAGCAGGACAACAGACTGAGACAGGTTTACAACTCAAGTAAGAATCAAATAATACAAGGGAGGACACAAGACTAGCAATTTTAGAGGTTTTTACATAGAAAACAAAAAGTTTATTTGTATGACAGATAGATAACTGTTTTTTTTTCTTTCCTTCCTTATATATATTACTGTTATACCTTCCAATCTCATCCTTCTTTGTGCCCATCTCTGTACCTCTACCATCCCTGCTCTCTAACATGTATTTTCTGTCTTTCTGCCTTCAGGCTTCTCCCAATAGAGGGGCCTGGTCAGCTGTGCCTGTGGTCAGCCCGGTAGCTGCTTCTGCCTGTGCACCCATGGAAATTGAGGCTCTACCCAGGAGTCCTGGAGGGGAAAAGAGGAGGTTGGTACCTAAGTTCAGAGTCTTTTTTTTTTTTTTTTTTTTTTTGAATGTCTGTTTATCTATTTACTATTTAGCTCACATTGTACACAATATTTGTGAAAATACGCTTCCTGCAATCCTGATGAGGATAAGTATTTAAGAGAATGAATGGTTTTATATCTTTGGATGGATGGTACTTTAAGTTAAATGCTAGTTAAATGTTTATAAGCCAATGGCAGCTTACAACTGTGCTCACTGATGATGAGGGAAACAAGACCAGGTTAGGAAGGGCTTGGGCGGGCTGACTGATCTCTGTTGGGCGCTGAAAGAAGTGGGTGGATAGCTAGGTGTGTTTTTCATGGTCTAATGCCATGTGAGTGGCTTAACATGGCTTATCCACTGACCCTGTCTTACTGTGACCAGGGAATGCAGGAAAGAAGGAGGGAGGAAGGCGGAGAGAGTATTTTTGTGTGCATTTTTCTATTTGTGCTTGCATGTCCCTTCCATGCTTGGTTGTTCTATTTCCATATTTTCAAGTTCATGCTCTGTTTTGCAAGTGTGCATGAAATACAGGTTATGTTATGTTAGAAACTCTATGGCCTAAAGGAGGGAGTTACTTGTGTGTCTGCATGCATGTGTGAGTGTGTCTTAGTAGTGTGCAGCACATACCAGAAGACTGTAATACAGCAGTTCAGCATTCAGGCAGTTGGCAGACTCAAGCTTAAGAAAAATGGACTGCCGTTAGACAACTAGCGGGCTGATGGGGGATAGCCAACAGGGACAGGAAGTAGGCAGTGAATAGATAAAGAGAAAGACATACTCTAAGGATTTCACCTGCCTTTAATTTGATAGACAGAACCTGTCCAAGTATTCCACTGACTTATTCTCATTACTGCCTGTATTGCCTTTGTATGTATTTATTTATTTATATTTTTTGGTTGTAGCTCTCTTTGTTATAGCCAATTGTTTTCCCGTTATGTTGTATTTTTGGCTCTCATACCTGAGTCAGAGTTGCTGCCTCTGAACAGTATGTATGAATATATTGTAGGTCTTTTTTTTTGTCCATGATATATCTGATATTTGTGGATGTACTTTGATGTGTTGTGTGAAGCTTGAACAAGGAAATATATAAACAAACATGCATGCACCCTCCTGTCTTATAAACCTGCATCGTTCACTTTGTGTTCCAGTATTAAAATGTACTGAAGACAAATGGGTCTTGTGTGGAGGCAGGCCAGGTAGGTATGATTGAACGCTGAACCTCGCCATTGCTCCGGCTTTAACCAATCAATCGCTGTGCATTGACGGGCTTTCTGATCTTGGCTTTGGAGAAGGGTTTTCTTACGATTAAATCGTCTCTGGTGATTTGCCGTCTGTTCACTTTTGATCAGCATGAAATGCCAACCTAATCGGTGGAGGAAATGATGTAATGATTTTGGGGTGCTATGCTGGGATCTAGTTTTTGGCATCATGAATCATTGATGTGATGTGGCTTCAGCTTTGGATCTGTTCTGTTGAAGACTTTGGTGCATTTCAGTGTGTAGATGTCTTTACTTTCAGTCTTCTCAACATTTGAAGCATCCTTTGAAAGGGTTTGTGCTCCTCCACAAAAGCTTATGTATTTTCTAAACTGTCAAATGGTCCACAAGATATTATAACAATACATTTGGATGGATGGAAGTTTGTTTGCCAATCAGCTTATGGACAATATGATTAGAGATGCTAAAAGCTTACCAAAAACATTTCATTTTTTAGTGGTGAGACAGTAAGAAAACATTACTTGCCTACATGCTTTTTTCCCAGTGTAAAGTAGGTACTTTTACTTCCTGATCAAACGACTGTGGCTGCTGGGGAACAAAGCTTATTCAGATCTACAGCTCAGGCTGATCCTGTTTCTAGTAAAGCAAATTTCTGGTCAGTTGTACTAAGAGGATTGCCTGTCACTGGGGCAGGGACCCTTTTTTGCTTCATTTATTACCCTGAAAAACAGGATGCACAGACATGACCTTGGATAGGGCCGGTGCACAGACAGAGTGATGACCTATCCCACTAATTATGCTGCTGTATTCTCCTCTTTGAGACTTTATCGTTCAAGGGTAAACAGTAAATCCCAGAGGCTTCAAATGGTTATTATTCAAATTTCCTTCCACAATGTCTTTTAAAACACAGTCAATTCATTTGTGCTGGGAAGCAAGGGCTTCCAATATGTTACTTCCCAGTTAGTATTAGTTTTATGTGTGTTTAAACAACATAAAGTATACCAACTAGAGCTGCACAAAGTTTTTTTTTTGTTGTTGTTTTTAATTATCATTGCGATATCAACTTGCACAATAAACACACAGTGAAAGACTGCAATATTGCTCTTGGAATATACTATAGTAAAAAAAATGTTGCTTTACAATGTGTCTGTAGGCACTACTTTGACTAATACATGCCATGCTGTTAAATCTCTGCCCAGTCAGATAGTGCTCTTGCTGTTAGGGTCCAACAGCAAGGATTGCCTGATGACCTGGGTCCAATAAAAAGTTACGCTGAGCCAAGAAATACAATCAGTCAGTTGCCCGATTATGCCAGTACTACTGCTGTTCTACTTTCTGTGATTTCGAATTAGTAGAGCGTTTAAAGAAAGACACAGGCAGGCTTGGTTATTTCATTGATGAAATGGTCGTCAATCCTAAAACAAAGTTGTCAAGTGGTAGTTGGGTACAGTGTAGTTTTTAAGTATGTCCATGAATACACACTGCAGCTCCTTAACACTCAAAGCAAATATAAATACATACAGTATATACTAGGGGTGGGTGAAACAATTCTTAGATGCATTACAATGCAGACATGGACAATGCCCCATTGATTCACAAAGGTCAGCAATGGATTGTCCAAATGTTTATGGAACAACGTGGTGTTGACGGAACGGGAGAGGCAGAACTCAACCGCAAGGGCAGTGCAGCGCCTGGACAGTTTACAGTGGGGCATATGCTAGAGTTAACTTGTAATTTATCTTCACAAAAGGCAACAGTTGCAAGCTTGTTTTGATATAATATCTAAATAATTACATCTGTGGGACGAACGTTAGGTATTTTGTGAATACCTTTTTATGCTATCACCCAGACACCTCTGCGCAATTTGGGGGTACTGGCAGTATGCCAGTGGATGCAGCTTGTGTTTTCTTTTGAAATTATACTTACATCATACATGTTATTTTCTGGATTGAATGGTGGCGCTAGACAAATTATGGACAAATTGTTGTGTCCACTCTCTGTTCACTGTTGTTGGATTAAATATCTAGGAGATGTTCATTAAAGCGTGAGCCTTGTAAATGGCCAAAACGGTACAAAAATTGCACAGTAATTTCAAAATGGCTGACTTCCTGTTGGATTTAGTGTATGGCTCTAAGAGACTTTTTTGTATGTCTGGACCTGATACATGTTCACACCGAATTTCGTACATGAATATGTAACATATCATGGGGGCAACTTTGTTGAAGTTTTGTAGGGACCGCTACTGGGACCTTTTTTTTACACCACATCACGAGACCCTTAAGATATAAAACTTTTCACCATTAACAAATTTAAAACACCTCTGTGAAGAGGAAATAACTCTCTGCTCAGTCCGTTTCACCTCAAAAATGCCTTTGCCCAGCCTGCTCAGTGACTTGGCTTTTCCTGGAGCTGAAGGTGCAGCAGAGAATCTGATCCCCACTGCTGGGGGAGTTAAAACAGCACAGCGGAGCACACCGCCTCCCCCTTATTTTGTTATGGTTATACAGGCAGGACGCTTTCATATGAATTGATTCATTAATTAGTGCAATTGATTTTTAAAATTAAAAGGCTGCTCACTAATGTGGGACAAATGGCTTGTAGCTGTCAGCGTCCTGCCATCCTTGGGACAATAGAAAACATGCTTGTGATAAACAGAGATCCTCCCGTTTGGGATGAAAGGATGCAGTAAACTCACTTTAGTTGCATCAGAGGATGCACCCTGTTCTTTTCCCAATAATGCTACAGTGTGAACAATAGATCTGTGTTAAAATCAGCACGAGGAGCACTACAGTAGTTAACTTTAACTGTTAGCAGCCAGTGGCCAACTAACAGCTTACGGAGGTTGCATTGACTAATGTTATGATGCGTTCAAGCTCTGTTCAGTAAAAATTAGTATTGGGCAATGGTAGGTTCTCATGATGTGTTCAGTGTAATCTTATAAAACATAGTTTTAGGCTAGAAACTCAAATAAATACAGTTCTTTTACATAGATATGTGTTGATGTTTTCACAGAAATATAAAATAGATATTGGAGAGGGAATTATGATTATAGTAAAACAACTTTGAAGCAGTTTGTTTGTTTTTTTTTTAGTTCTTTCAAGTGAAAGGTTATACTAAATTATTGTTTCATAAATTTGTATTATTGAATGTGAAGGCTTGTAGATCTCTTTGTTTTCCTGGCACAAAAGGGGGAATAAATAACAACAAAATAAAATAAACAGCATACAAACATCGGTAATGGCTATCAGCTAAATTGTTATTTTAAACAGAATTTCAAAATCTGTGCATCCCAAAATATTATCACGATATTCTGTGTTTTTGCATATTGCATATTGTCCTGATATTGTGCAGCTCTAATACCAACAGAACAACAGTTTTGTTTGGAGAAGACCTACCAGGTACAGGCACACCTTGCTCAGTGACAGTCAGTGCTTTCGTTAGAATGTTGTAGAGCCTTCAGAAGCTTATCCAGTGATAAAAAAAAAAATATGACACAAGCCATACAAGATCTTGCGTAATATATCAGCACAAGACATTGCACTGAGAAAACCTCTGAGTTCTTGTTTATGCCGTAAACCCATGGCAACAGTTCACAACAGATTCAGTGGACAGGAGGAGGATGCTTTGAAAGAAACTATACCACTAATACTTCAGACTAATCCCTGGTGTTCTTCCCTCTCTCATCCCACTCCTTTCTCCCTTGCTTTTAGTGCAATGTCAGTGTTGATTTTGCATGGAGCACTATAACCTTCAGCTGCTCTCCTGATACCATGAGCAACCAGTCTTCTCTATCTCTGTCTGTCACTCTCCAACTTTACTAAGCACATAAGAAACTAAATACATGTAAGCTTGTGATTTTATGCCCTGATGCAGATAATATAATCCAAATTTTATATTTATATGTCCTTGACAGTAATGGGAGATAGCTCTGTAAGTGTGCACTACATTTGTTGAGTAAGTGGAAACAGTTACTGTTAATGTTTTTCTAGTCAAATGTATGCAACATCAAACATTTCCAAACCAAAGTAAAATGTTAACAAATGCGAAGTAAAGAATTGTAGTTAGGAATGTTTATGATTTTTTTTTTAGCTTTTTACTCTGAGGACTGTATCTGCTGCCTACCCTCTGACCCTTTCCTCTCTTTCCTTTAAGCTTCTTCACTTCTTCGTCTCCACTACATTATCATAAGTGAGAGTACATAATTATTAGATTAATGCCATTGGAATGAAGTCATCACATTTTAGTCTCCATGGCCAGCAAGAGAGTATATGGAAAATATACAGTAAAAGGTCAGTAGAAGTTCATCTGCCGTACATGGAGCCAAAGATCATCAAGTTAGTCACTGTTTTACAGTGGCATTGAGAAACTGTATGCTCCCCTGCCTCTCCTGCTCCCAGTGGAGCTGTCATCATGAATAACAGCTTCCGGCTCAGGGCCTCCAGCACTGAATATATAAACACAGATTTGACATAAGCCATCAGACCTCAGTCGCTAGAGGTGCAAAGCCAGGTCACTGACGCTCCAGAGACATCCAGTCCACTTCAGTTAACTCAAGTGTACATGTCACAACACTTGTCACAGCACACTTAAATGCACGCTAGTGTACAGTGTAGCAGAAGCAATGTACCATAAGTTGCGTGGCATATTGAGTTTCCAGACACTGCCGGGCTTATCAGGGCCATGAACACCTCATTTATTTATTCATGTTGTTTCGTGTCCACTAACATAACATTTTTTTTATTATCATCAGCATGACTTCTCTTGCCAAGTTGTAGTTAAAAGAAATGCATAATCTCTTACAACAAAAACAGGTGACGCTCTTTTGCACAGCTCCCATTTTTCTTTCTACCTGTGCTGCCTCTCCCCCATTCATTTGCATACAATGTCCCTCACCTCTTTGCCGTTTTTATTCAATGCTTCCCTTCCTCTCCCCCACCAGTCTCACTCTCTCACTCACTCACTATCCATCTCTTTACATCACCCTCCTGTTTGCCCCCCCTTCCCTTTGTCTATTCCCTCCACCCTGTTCTCCTCAGGTCTCCTCTCCCCTCCACCCCTCCTGCTCATGTCTCATCAATGCTCCCCCACAAAGAGTTGGACCAATCCGAGGAACTGACAACGGTCACCCTCTGTGCTGACATGAGTTGGACAGCACACTTAATAAATGGGGATGGCTCAGCAGTGACTCACCCATGAAACACTTCTGGTATTTGTGGTGGTGGCTGCACCACATGGAAGGACACATTTGGTGTGAATGCAGACATGCCTTATTGAAAACATTCCACAACACAAACTGCTCGAAGTATCACATATTCCATTTAGAGGCACCCCTCACAGACGGACATCTCTCCAAGCTTCCCATCATGCTGCCATCACTCTTGATACTATTCTTTCCTTTTCAGTGTTTCAGTCTTTGCACATCCCTTCACCTGTGCTTGACCCTTGCTCCAGTGACAATTCTGAAAAGTTGTCCTCTTTTTCCTCCTTTTTCCCTATTTCGTTACCCTCTACACTTTCTTTGTCTCTCTCATTCCTTCTCTCTTTCTTTCCTCTGTCCTTCACTCATAACCTCATGGTGAAACTGGCTGGCTGGGGTGAGATGGTATCAATGTGAGGCTTAGGAATTCAGCTCACTCTCAACTGAAGGAAACAATAAGTCACAGTTCCTGGAAGGTTTAACTAAATCCTCTTCTGCTCACATTGTCGTTCTCTCAAAATTAGTTTTGTGCTTTTTATATTTCAACCACTGTTGCTGTTTTAGTTAGTTCCATAAAATGATTTTAATGTATAAAAAGATGTGATTTTTCTCTATTTTGTATTTAATCTATTCTCCACATTTCATGGATCTGCTGCTGTTTTATAAAGGTAGTTGGATAAGAAGGTCAGTATTTGTCTCGTCTGTAGAGATTTTACTGAGAGGTTTATAACCTGGCACAAAAACAGAAGTAGGAGAAAAGAGTTGCTTTCACTCTGTCACAGATGCAATCCAAAAACATCAGAATCTGTTACATTTATACATGGTTTCTTGTATGCTCAACGCCTTTAAGAAATGCTTGAAGATGCTTTTTTTTTTTTTTTTTTAAGCTTTTTTTTGGAAGTTGTTGAGCTAGCCTAAACATATCCTGGACTCTATACTCAGAAATCAAATTGATACTGACCTTCTCATCCAACATATGGCGAGAGATCAGACAAATATGATTCCATAAAAATGTTGAGAAGTAAATCAAAATCGAATGGAAATTGTATTTCTGTTTATTTGTTTTGAAGTTTATATTCACTGAATGCTTCCCTACACCTCAACTACACCTCTGCACAACCGTTTCTTGCACAGCTCAACCAATGAAGGTGATTTCGTAATATTATTGCTTAGTTAAATGTTTACAGCGTAACTTTGACCAAAGGATTTATATCTTTATGAACTGCATGTTTAAAATCATTCCAGAGAATAAAGACAGAATTACTCTTGATACAGAGGAGTATGTAACCATATGTGTGTTTGATTACTTGTACCAACCTACATACTGTAGTGTACACACTGTTTAAGAAGGATTACCCGGCTGTTTGGCGGTTGAAATTTTGTATCATCTTCTGCGGTCACTCAAGTTGTAACTCACCTGTCAAATGCATAATATATTCAGGGCTGGAATGATATGCTTATCTCCTGATTCAATACTATCTAAATACTTTAAAAGTACTGCGATTCAATATTACATTTTTTTGCAATTTTGTTGACTTTTTTAACACTAGACCATGGTTAAAAGTTGAATCATACACTTCTAGAGACTGTATAAACCCAAAACCCAAAGTGTTTCCATTCTTTGGATTTATAATTTATGGGTGTAGGTTGTAATAAAGAGCCATAAGGTAGTGGGTTGGTAAACTGTTGCTGCTGACTACAAGGCAATGTCACAAAGGCAATCTATATATATACTGTTATAACTACTTCAGGATTGATCATGACAAGACATTGGCTACTACCTCAGTGTTTTGAACCTCTGTACCTAGTTGGAAAAGATTTATCATCTCCCTGTGGAACCTCTCAAGTGTGCATACGTTACATTTTTAGTGTAAATTCAATACAGTGCACTTTGTTTATGGCCCACATGAGGGTTGGATGCATCCCTGATGTGTTTCCTTCATGGATTACTTAACATGTGGGAGTGTTTTATATACATTTGGTTTGTGTGTCCTCAGGCGAAGGATTGTACTTATCTTGTGTGTGCAGGGTGCTTTACAGTAGCTCCGGTTCTCTCCAAGTCGTTTATATAGTAATATATACTTCTCATGTTTCACTGTGTCTGCAGGCTACAGAAATATGAGGTAATTATGAGGCTGCTGGAAGAGCTTTCATCAAAATCCATGTATCAAATGTTTTGCTTCAAGTTGCTTTTGTTTCTAAGAATATTACACTGCATTTTTTTTTCCCACAGAAGTTATTGCTTGCTTTGAAGACTTATTTCCATGACCTCAATCATGCCTCTCCATCTCCCTAGAAGACCTTTTACAGCAATGTTATAAAGAGCTTTTCTCTTTGGACAAGCAGATCCCATATCTTTCTGGTAGAAACAACAGTAACTGTCTTTGTATTTTCTTGTATTCCTGATAACAAACTGATGGATGCATGGCTGTACTTGTCAAACTCATTGGTGAACCTACATGATCAGCTTTTGCCAGAGGCTTACAAATAGTTTTCAAAACACAGTCACCCCTATTTTTTGTCTTAATTTGTTCTATTGTAGTTTTCTTTGTATTTATGGGAAGTTTTTATAAAATATCTTCTGACATATCATCATGGGCCAGTTTGACATCTTTGCAGAGTCCACTCATGTCTTATGGATGTCGCAGGTAAGTCATACAGCTGCATAATCCTTTATTATTTTGTTGTACTTTTATATTTAACGCTTGCGTTATCTTCATTGTTTCTGTTTATTATTTATAATTAAACAGGATTATTTTTAAACCCCTGTTTTGTTCTGGTGCTTCTTTTATATCCTTCTGTTATCCTTTTGTTCTGTCCTTAGTATGCCCATGGTTGCGGACCTGATGGAGACGTGCATTGATGATGTCCTCAGGGCTACTGTCGTTCCTACAGTGACGGCTGCAGACGAGGCCGGACCAAGCAGCGCCTATGCTACCCCCAGTGTCACCGGGGAGGATCACCTCGGCCTGGCTGGTGAGGCTACAGCAAACCAAGCATACCACAAAGTGAATTCAGGTGGCAACTCATTTATCAACGCAGTCGACACAGTGCACTTATTGTCAATGATTGCATACTGAAAAGGGGGCTGCAATATATATCGCATGCAACTACATTAGACTTGTAATGTGTATGTTTCATTGAGTAGTATTTAATTTAAACATTGTGTCTCTTCAGATGCAGCAGCTCGTCTGAAGCAGCTGGAGTTGGAGAGCAGTCCGCTTCTTGGTACTCCCAGAAATAACATCAATGTCAATATGGCCATGAACAATCAAGTGGGTGTTCATAAAGTAATTCTGTTAATTTTGTTGTGGAACTAAAATGAAGGTGATGCAATGAAAACCTTTGCGAGAAAAATTGCAGCAGGGATAGCACAGCATGTTGTCTGCTTTGTTCAGAGATGATAACCATATTTTCTCTCTTTTGTTGTATGTTATGTGTTTGCTCTATCTGATCATGCTCCAACAGGAGGATGTGATGAAGCTCACAGAGAAGTGTGGTCTCAGCAGCACAGGCAGTAGTCCAGTTGTCACTCCACTGTGCACCCCAGAGGATCTGAAGAGCAACATCCTGAAGGCACAAGTTGAGGCTGCTGCCCTCAAGGTTAGGAACAGACCCCACCAAACTGGATGCATTGTGTTGTTTAGTGATCACACTTTGAAAGGTGTAAAAGGCCAACAAATGTTTTTCAATAAATTGCTGTTTGGGAGTTGTTAGTAGAAAGATGGCAGCAAGAAGGGTGATGGGGAATGATGTGCAACAAAGGTACCCAGCCAGGGCATTGTCTACAAAGTCTCTGCTGTTAACCCCTTGGCGTATAACTCAAATTTAATGATTTCTGTTTACTGAATAGCAGGTTATGGAAAATGGCTGCAGCCTTGCTGTTTTCAGCAACATTAGACCTTCTAGGTAGTGTAAATGTTGTGTGTGAACAGTGAAACTTAAAACTGACGTGAGCAAATTGATCCTGGTCATTGACCTTTTCAAAGGTTCAACAGTTGGGGTGGAAGGGTGAAAGACACAAGTAACAGGTGCACTCTAATGCTGGCCTCTGTACTCCCACTATTGATGCTTCTAATTGGTTCAGGAAATTGAAAGGTATATGAAATAAAGGCATTCTACCAGGGACTAGGATTTGTGACTTTTAAAACAACCCTTTCAAGCCTCAAGAGTGTGGGCTTTGTGTTGCAGCATTGATGTTCTATCATAGTTGTGATGTTACTATGCTATCAAGTAAGGCGGAGATGCATCATCGTAATAGTCCTCCACCTGTCTCTCTGTCTATCAGTCCATTTATCTCTCTCTCCCTGTTCCTTTTCGCAGGGATCTTTGGAGGAACATGTCATAATTGTTGGAGATAAAAACTGTAACTTGCAGGAGGCCTCTGCCAGGTATGATCACACACTGGAGTAACACATTTTTGAATGTACAGTCTGTAGATAAAAAAAACAGGATTGCAGTGCATTCACTTGAGGAAAAATCTGAATTGTTGAATTGAATCTGAATTGTGGGGATAATTATCCCATTATGCTTCCATAATACATAATTATAATAACTGAATTAATTATTATTGATTGTCCTTTGACGAAACTTCCATCTGTTACAAATGATAAAGAATGCAATGAATGTGTTTTAGCCAAGCTCCCAACATTCATTCAACCATGCAAAATACTTTGTTTTGTTTATTTAGGGTTTTTTTTTAGCATCATACTGTGTTTCTAAAAAAAAATCTTTTCTCCTTTTGAAACCATCAGTACAGTACAGCACTGTACAGGCAGCACAGAACACACATGGACAGGAGAAATCTATTGTCACTCGCGCTCCATTGTCTTGAAATTGGGCCTTGTTCCCTCCTCCTCCATCTTCCTGAGTCATGCCAACTGTCAACACATTGTCTCAGCCAATCTCAGCACTCCCTGCAGCTAGAGCTGATTAACCAATTGAATATTCATGAGGATTATTAGCGTAGCTCACAACATTACATCACCTGCAGCTCATTCTTACAAGCAAGGCTCCACAGATTGTAAAGCAAATCCCTGTCGCCGTCTTGTATCAGAGGCCGTCAGTGGCTCGGGATGTTGGTGGGGGAGAATGAGCCGAAGTAGATTTAGCAAATGCTGTTTGTAAAAATATATATACTTTCCTGTTCTTATTTTTAAAATCAATTTTAAATATTGTCTTCCTTTATTATACCTAATTTAATTCTTGATTCATGTTGATTTTTTTTTTATTACTGTGAAGATCATTTACTCAGTGTGAAAGGATTGATGTCATTCCATCCACACAAAACTACTGGCACAAAACAAGAACATGTATTGTCTGTTTCCAGGTTGAAAGTGCGCACCGGCCGACTGGGTAGTAACTCGTCTCTGTCCGTTAGCAGTCGCCCTGACATCCAAGACTCCTGGGACCTGCTCAAGCCAGCCTCACTGGTCTCATCAGCAGGGGCCAGGTTAGTCTTTGAACATGCTATGCTGTCCCTACTTGTTTTTTTACTTTGTATGTCTAAGTAAAACTGCACTTTTATTTGTCTACAAGGTGAATTCTGTATTATTCCCACTGTGTCTGAAGAAAATGAGAGAGAAACTGGGAGAATAGATTAGCGGAGGAGGGAATTTTGACAGAAGCTTCAGATTCATAATCCTTCTGGGCAGACAGAGATGCACAATATATCTGTTTTTCTTCTCTCTTTTATCTAACTTAAAGTCAAACGATAAATTTGCTGAAAATCATTAGCTGCATTTTATTTTAAACAACACTGTGCGTCTTTGTGAAATCCTCCACACATTATTATTCAAGTCATATGGAAGTTTTGTCATTAACTAACTACTATACTCTATAAATTAAGGTGCAGTAATTTGATATATTTCACTGTGCCTATAGCTTTAATCACACCTTATGTAATGATCATTTTCACCTAACCTACTTCAGCTTTTAGGACCTTGACAGAAGAAAGACGAGGCTTTGACATCCAGATTGAAATAAGAAATATATAAAAGTGGATAGAAAGTAGTTGAAATTAAAGGTATGAAGACAGGGCTTAGAGAGTAAAAACCAAAGTGCACTCACATTACAGTGCCCACTTCCTTTTTCTTCATTGGCATTAACCTGACTGATATATTTCCTGTATCTTTACTCTATAATTTTGTATCAGCTTTTTTCCCCCCAAACAGAACATAAACGTTTCACAATGATCCATTGGAAACTGAGGTGTTGGTTGTTCTTAGTAGTCTTTGCTGACATCTGTTGGCCTGTTTGAGCAGTGCACACGCCTGTATGTGTATGTGTTTGTTTGTGTGTGTGTCTGGGTGTGTTCAGTCACATGACTTGAGTTCTGCCTGGATACTGCTGGCATCTCTGCTCAAGTGTTTACAGTGGGATGACACAAAAATACAGAAGCTTGACCAGACAATTCACAAAGGCTGTAAGGCCCCGGGCTCATTGATGCAGTAAATGCTCCAACCATTCAGGCTGTCTTTCTACAGGAGTCTGGAGACTGTAACCTCACGCTGTGCTAAAACAATAAACTGATGAATCAATTAGTCACTCACAGAACATTAATCAAGAGCAATTTTGATAATCAGCTAACAGTTAAACTAATTTATCCAGCACAAATCAAGCTTTTCTAGGTTGTAAAAATACCTTGGGGTTTTGGACCCTTTGTTGTGCAAAGCAAGCAATTGGAAGGCATTACCTTGGGCTGTGTGATTAGCTCCGATAATAAAGTTGTTGTTATTTTTTTTTTGTTTATTTTTTTAGTCATATGAATGAGAAAAATGTACCAATTTAAAAAAAATGTTTTTTGTAGTACTGTATCTCAAGGATGAGTAACTTGGACTCTGTTAATGTTTCTGAGTGGAACAGGAATCTGAAATTCTCTTTTTCCATTCATCAGTGCAGAGAGGATAGCTGACGATTTAAACCCCCCTGTTCCCAAGATGCTCTCTGAGTCTGCCAGCGAAGTCATGGCACCAAAGGTAACATGATTATTCATAGTTGAATTACTTATTGTGGTGCATTTTCATTTGTTACCATGGGAATAGTAGCCATTAATGCTTTTACACATGAACATAGAGCTTACTGCTATTTAAAGGCACAGTAATAAATAGAGTTCTAGTGGATTTTTCAACATCACATACAGTATATTATATATTATTACATGTTACGAATGTACAGGTACATTTTACATGTCCATCCTGTTATCTGTGCTGATAGAAATGATGGAAATCTGCTTCACTGTCTCACAGTGGCATCTGTTTAACCTCAGGTTGAAGTGCTGCCACTGGTATCTGTTTCATGACGGTGCACTGTATGCACACTGCTTATGTGGCTCCTCATTGCTCTATGTGTCATGTTGAATCTGATGTAAACAAATCATCTAATACAGACTTTGTAGAGGTTTGTTTGTGTGTTTTGATTAAGAGTGTTGGTGTCTTTTTGCAGGTTAAAGCAGAGGAAGATGACCTGCAAAACAACACCCCACTGTCTGACAACCTGATCGATTTCACCGATCCAACTCCTGTGGTGAGTCTTATTCTACTGTATGTGGAGAACTCCAGCCAAAACACTGTCATTTAATCCATTTTTGACTAATTTATTTGTGTAAATACCTTTGCAAAGCGACTTGCTCAAGAACACTACGTATATCAGCCATTGCAGGGAGCAAACCACCAACCCTCGACACAAGACACACTCAGTCGAACCACACAACTGGAATGAAACAATTGATCACTTATTCACCCTCACTCAGAAACATTTAACCCGTGTCTGCAGCCCCAGCTGGGTGAGAAGTTTTAAGTTTAAGTTTATTTACTTTATTAATCCCCCTGAGGGGAAATTCAATGTTTTCACACTTGCTTGTCAAATACACGCAGGTCCAAAAGACACAAACATGCCTATATATACACCTATACATGCACAAAGTGGAGAGATGTCAGAGTGATTGGCGGTTGGGGAGTTAGGTGCCTTGCTCAAGGGCACCTCGGCAGTGCCCAGGCACCTCTCCAGCCGCCAGTCCACGCTCCATATTTTGGTCCGGATGGGGACTCGAACAGGCGACCCTCCGGTTCCCAAACCAAGTCCCTATGGACTGAGTCACTACCGCCACTGAACACAGCCCCAATACTACCACACTTTAGCATACTGGTTTTTCTATTTGAGATAGGAATTAAATTTAATGTTAGTGGTGATACACCTGCACAACATTTATGAATATATAGATTGACACTCACAATGGCAGAAACGTAATTTGGTTCTTTTGTGTAATGTCTTTGTGACTTTTCAGTGTTGTGTTTAGAACTAGATTTGTAGTCACAAGTCTCTTGCTGTGATCTATTGAAGCAAATGTGTATCAGTGATCTGGGGTCAAACGTGGGTGAATGCACCCCTGTAAAGTATGTATCGTCAATATTGTGTGCCAACATTTTTCTGATTGTCTTCCAGCTACCACCAGTGCAGCAGCCCAAACCTCTCATCACACCTCGCTGGATCATCCCTACAGCTGCTGTGAGTGATCAACCTTTGTATTTACCTGTCTGGCTTTTCTCCTGATCTACGGTCTGCTTGTCTGTCTGGCTTTTATGTTGTTTTGTTTTATGTTTTAGAAGGCTTTCATGAGTATTTAATTATTTTAATTTGTGTCCAGTTTCCTGAAACTGGTGATGCAAGGCTCAGTGTTTACTTTTTCATGTGCACTTGCATAGTTGCTATTCACTTTGGCTGATGTAGATGCTATGTAGAGAATGACCTCCCTCCTTCTCCCTCATCCCCTTCTAATGCAGCCTCCTGGCGTCTTTACTAACGGCCTGCTCGACCTTGACCCCCCTGCTAAGGTCAACCCTCTTCTCCCTGCAGATGGGGGAGCCGCTCTCACCCCAGTCCTCCCCCAGCTCGCTCACACACGTAACACCATCTCCGCCAGGTAAACTTCTTGAGATCCGAACCTTAAAGCTTGTTTTTAGAGCAAGCTTGGTAGTATGCTGACCCCTGCTGATCGAGCAGGAAAATGCCTGCTTTTAGCTGAAACCTCAAACCAAAAGAGTTGAAGGCAAGGCTTTAAAAAAGAATGACTTGGAATTGTTGCTCGGCCTCGCTGCTATGAGAAGTCATGAGCTTAAATTGAGGCTTCAGCATCATTTCACTGTAAAAGTTGCTCATCCTGGCTATGATGAATTACCACTGTTGTAACATAAAGTTGCCTTATTGTTAACTGGTTCAGAGTTTCTCATGCACAAAGCAAAATAATATCACTGAGAGTACACAATTATAAGTGAGAACATGCGCAAGTAGAGTTTGAAATATCAGCTATGCACCTTGCCATCTCACCATGTGATGGATACTTTATCTTTGTTCCCTATCATAGCTGTATTTTTGTTTGTTCTATGGATGTAGCAATGAAATTCATTCTTTGTAGAGCAGTATTTTTAAGGGCCAACATGCTCAGTGTATGTTTTATGCTTCTACAAGACAAGTAGTCCGTCTCTGATGCAGCCATTCTGCCATCCTTCACAGCACTGCGGGTCAGCAGCCAGCCTCAGAGGATGGAGCCAAACCCAGAGGTCTCCTGACCACTGAGCTCTGATGGAGTAATGAGGAGCAGTCATCACAACATTCGTTTCCCAGACTGCTTCCCCCAAGCCCCCCTCACCCCTTCACCCAACCACACACAAGCAAGCTGGGCCAGATGTGCTGAATACTGAGGGCTAAGAGGAAAGTGGAACCAGGGAAGAGGCAGCTTACAAACACCACAAACACAATTGTAGCCACACTGACAAACAGATTGAACAAATTCAACCAAGCACATAAGAAAATAATAGGAATATGATGACAGTATTTTATGATAATGTTTAGCTCCAGTGTTAACATCCTAGAAGAACACCTACTGTGTGAACCTCCTGCCTGAGCTCACTGTCAGCAACCTGCTATTCACATAATCCATCCTGTCAAACAAATAGAGGTCAAGTTGGGGCTGACTCACTAAAGTCTCAGAATAAGGTACATTTCATGAAGGCATCCACCACTGGTTCATGACTCAAAGGGTAGGTTGTCTCTTTTAGCGCTGCTTTCCTCACCCTATTTTTGGCTCATGCTGTTTTATCACTGGTTATTCACACTACTGGATTCTGCTTCTCTGAGCTTTTCTGTACACTCACAGATCACACAGCACGTAGAGCTGCTGATGTACACTGGATGAAGGACTAAAAGACAGAAAGACTGACTTTAAGTGTTGATTTGGAGAGATAAACACACCTGGACTGCTAACACGATGAAACATGAATATGACACTGTACTGTCCTTGTAGCACACTACAAACCTTTTTTTAAACCCAGTCACTACTACATGTGAAACTTGTCTATTGGCAGCCACTGGATATGAACACTCACTGGATTATCTTTGCAACACTGGACCTTGAAGGATTTCTTTGCAACGGATGATAGTAGAGATGATCATTTTGGTTTTTCAGCTGATGTTTTTATTATCCTGCTCTTACTTTTTTTTGTCTGTTTGATGTTTGAATTTGCCCGTCGCAGTACTCTTGAATTCACACATCACGAGGGACTGAACATCACTAATGGAAGTTAGTTCTGTGGCCCTTTTTGGGCTCTCTATGTTCACCTCTTTCTGTATACTCTTATCATGGCTTAGAGTCAAAGGTGACGACATAATGACATGAAGTTTTAATATTTTAAAATGTGATCCTAAACTTTGCTTTCACTTGAAACCACTGTTTCCACTTCATTCATTTCAATTTTAACCTCTAAATTAGCAATGTAAATGTGACAAGTGAAAGCAAGTTTGCTGTTGAACCCTTTAAGGTTACTGTGATCCCAGTTTTTTAAATGACCTAACTGGATATCTGAATTCATTTTGACAGTACGCTGACCCTGTTGTTGAACATGGCTCCTGGTATTAACATGCTGTAGTTACTGCCCTGCCTTATAGGAATGAATGTATTCAAATAGTCTCGTCTGAGAATGCTGGAGATGCCACAGTATGAAAAGTTTTACAGTTTCTGAAATTCTCAAATGCTGATATATTTTATAACTGGAGGAAAACTTGTGAAATTAAAGGGACAGTTCACCCCCAAATCAAAAATACATATATCCTCTTAACCTGTAGTGCTACTTCTCAGTCTAGATTGAAAAATAGCACCACAGGTAAAAGAAAAAGTATGTCTTTTTGATTTTGTGTTGAACTGTCCCTTAAAATCTGATTTTGTACATGTGAATTAAGGACTAATTCCACACTTTCTGAAGTATAAATGAAGTACATCGCATTGACTCTTAAAAGATAGACTTGCATATTTTCTTTTAAACTCTCATTACCCCATATGTCGTATTCACTAAATCTGGAGCCTCATCCAAGTTATGTTTGTAGTTCTTTCATTATGATGATGATTCGATAATCTGTCTTGAACAAGGGAACCTGACTGTTTTACAATGTCTTCTTAGCAGTGACAGTTATTTATGCTACTACTCAGTGTAATTGATCAAATATTACATGTTGTCCAAAAGTGTTGTAGCGCACAGTTCTAATGTATTGTCAGTATAATGGCATCAGCTGGCTGTAGATATGAAGTAGATTTATATATATATTTTTGAAAATTCTGTTGGCAGTATTGTTACTACACACTGAGAAGATTTCTGCATTAAGCTGTTTTCTAATTACAAACGAAGTAGGAAACGTATTACTGATCGAACTGACTGGAAAAACGCAGAGATTGTGACAGTCTCAAATGCTATTTTATATAAACTTTTATTTTTTTCTGGAATACCTGATCATGATTCAGTAAAGCTTTGTTACAGTAGGAGTCAATTGTTTTTCATTCATTTTTCTTATGTAGCTTCTGTTGAATTGGTTTGCCTGCACAGGAGGTTCTCAGTGATTGCAGCTGGATTTATGCAAGACTAGACAATCTGATTTATTTCTGTGCTGTGGACCAGATGTGCTTTCTGTCTTGTTAAACCAGCGATGAAACACTGACCCAGATCACTCCGAGGTTAAAAAAAAATCAGATTTTGCAGTCCTGTTTAAATTCAACTTGTCTTTGAGAAGTTAAACTCTTGTATCTGCAGAAATGTAGCAATAACAACTGACTCAGCAAAAATTTGAGTATTCAAAATGTGTTTCTTTTAAAGTGATAACTTGGACCTGAGTGTATTTACTAGTGTCACCATGTGTCATCTAATGAAGTACAATTTTTATTTCCCCCTGCTATTTGAAACACATCATCCACTAAAGTATAAAGGGAAAAACCCACCTTTTAAACCAATTCACATGATTTTAGATCTTGTTAGTTAACATATCTGTCAAATGTCATCAGGCAGATTAAAGGTAATTTCCAAACCAATCAGACTGGTTCGTCACATTCCCACAGTGATGATGTTACATTTTCTAATTAAGAACTACTGAGAAAATGAATAACAAGCTGATGTAAAACCCTCATTCACTCCATTAGTCTACATATTCAGCTCTTCGTCTCAGTTATTGATAATTGGTTCAACTCCAAAAAGGAAATCTGACAGCATCGCAGATCACAGTATGAGATCTTTTGGCTTTTGCTTTGTACCGAAAAGTGTTTTTTTTGTAGAACATTATGATGCCACAGTGAAGTTAACCTTTGACCTTTTGCATATAAAATGTCCTCACTTCATTATTTTATTCTATTGGAAATATGTGTGAAATTTTCTGCATAATTAAGATGTGAATTCTAAAGTTATGGCCAAAAACATGTTTTTTGAGGTCACAGTGACCAGTTCATCCTTTAGTCCAAGTGGACGTTTGTGCCAAATTTGTAAAAAAAAATTCCGTCAAGGCGTTCTTGAGATATTGCTATCCTGAGAATGGAACAGACGGATGGATGGACAGCTTTAATACATTATGCCTCTGGCCACGACTCTGGCACAGAGGTATGAAAACAGTGACTGTCCAGCTTATTTAATGTAGAACGGTAGAGGTTGGTGTGCTTTGGCAAACATGTTGTTCATATTAAAAACGATTTTTACTTTCAGTCAGAGTGCCTTAGATGCTTTTTAGGTTACAAACCTATACCATGGACCTCGACATTAGCGGGGAGGTTACATGACTGAAACTTCTTGTGTGTGCTAAGTGTGTAAGAGAACTACGGTGGCTGAGGCAAAATGCAAATGGTCCTATCTAGAGCCGGTGTTGGTTTTGTCTGTTCTGGGCTACTGTAAAACAACATGACAGACTTCGTGGAAGAGGACCTGCTGCATTTATGAGTATGAACAGCTCATTCTAAGGTAACAGAAAACACGACAATTTTTAGTTTCAGGTGATAGTAAACTAATGAAAACATAGTTATGAATATTATGTTCTATTTCTGCCAAGAGATGCCCCTAAATCCTACACACTGGAGCTTTAAATAAGCTGGACAGTTATTGGTTTTAATTCTTATTCAACTACTTGCCCCTCCCTGAAGAGCACCTGATTTATTACCATCAGGTTGGTGGTTTCTTGACTCGGTGCAGCACTCTGTTTTTTCTTCATTATCAGTGATGTGGAATATATTTCAGGTAGACATTTTCCACAGTGTAAGAGTCGGGAAGCACAACTCTTCAACTATGGCAAAATGTAAATATAAAAATCACCAACACTAATGTAAATGATCAAACCTATGACCCCATCTACAAAGAAAAGAACACAGTGGAGACAGTCGGCAGTTGGTGCAGACTTGTATATAGTTTTTCTCACATTAGACACTTTGGCTGGGTACAGTACAATAAACAGGTGATAACATTAACCGGTTGCTCTGTTCTATTCAAGTGTCTCAGTAATGGATGAACTGTTTTGTTAACATGTCAGCACTGTGAGTTTTACACAGCTGGTAACAGTCTTCAGTGTATGTTAGCCAGTTCACCACTGGATGGCAGCACAGTACCATTTTTAACCTTTGGGTAGAGCTGCGCTGAGCAGATGATTTTCCCCCTCCTGCATCATTAACACTCCGATTTCTGATCTCCACCATATAGTGTGAGATATATGTGCGTCATGTGATACTGTTAATGTGTAAGGCGTTAAAAATGCTCTAACTTTATGAAATGAGACTCTTCCAAGAAGCTGTTATTGCTTTCGAATGTGAATAATTGAACACATAATAGGAAGTGTTGATTGTGTTTTACATTAATAATCAATGTGAAACTTCACCCAACATTTTATCAGACTGTCAGATATTGTAAACAGTCACGTCCTTTACACACAAATGTTTGATTTTTAACTGTTAAAGGAAGTGTTTGCTCATTTGTTTAGCTACAGACAATTGAACTTAAAAAGTCTGATCTCTTTAAAAGCTCCTTGAAACAGTTCAGGAGTTAAATCAGCCTACAGCTTATCGTCTAGTGAGATAAAGTATATACAGTGTCAGCAGCAGAACCTGGTGACTGCATTGTGCTAGTCTTAACCTCTAGAGTGTAGTGTAGCTCCAGAGTGTGCCTGCTTAGTAGAGGTGGATCTTTTTTTTATATATATATAACCCTATATGGAATTATCATTTTCATATCTGATATATTATTAAAAACTCTCACAAGCCCAACAGCAGAAACATTACAGTGAACACTTCCCCTTGTATACTTTGACCGTTTCTGTAAGTCACAGTCCAATATCTCCAGGTTCAGGATTAGTGTCTCATTTGCTCAGGGAAGTCTGTTAATCAGACTGGATCACATGAGCAATGTCTGCAGTAGGTCACAGCAGTCATCTGAGAGTGGATGGTATTAGTCGGGTGAACAAATAACGAGTGGTTTAAGCCACTTTTTTTACATTAACTGTCTGTCATCTCTTCAGCTGCTTCATTAAAAAGAACAAAACGCATCATCTGTCTTTGAGGAAAGATAAAAAGAACTTCTAAATGCTCATTATGGACCACAGTTCAGTGGCTGTTGCCTTAAAGAAAAGACAGAAACAATTATACCTATGGGATTGCATCATGTTAGAAAATCTTCAATCAGTACCAGAATAAAAGCAAAGACTCTGCTGTTATTTGTCAATTGCCATATTGGTTTACATTTCAAAATGCAGTGATTTGAAATTGATTGACTGCGACGGGTCCGCGCGACAGAGCAATACATAGTTGGACCATTATTAAACAGCAGACAGCATACAGCTCAATAACTCAGCCAGGACTGCTCCCCTCAGCAGATGGGCCGACTCTCCCCCACCTTCCAAATGAATAATTGATTATGTACATGGACCTTATGCCAGGTCATGATTGCTTAAGCATGCTCAAAGCTCTGGGTGGATTCATAGAGATTTGGCGCAGAGCCCGTGCCCTGATGTCACCAGTTCAGATCCCGCTAAAGCAAATATAACATAGCTTCTCGTAAATGTTAATATTGTTTGAGGATGATAGCAGTAGTTTTTTTTTAACTATCAGCATTGTTTATAGCTTGATGACAGGCTGTCCAATGTTGGTTTTCATTTTGAAGAGGGATTCACTGCATCGAGGTTAGAAGAACAGCAGAGGATATAACAGGAATACATCAACATAGTGGATGTCAAGGTTTTAACCCAACAGTGTTCATGAAATACTTCAATCAAAAGAAAAGGTGAAATGTTAGTGTAGCACCAAATTAAGACCATCTGTTAACTTAATAATAACACTTGGGTTATTTACACATGGTATTTGGAGCTGTCAGTGCAGCCATTTTAGGGTGTTAATTAGACAGTAGAAAAACTCACTGATGTTATTCAGGAGTTTGTAAAAAAAAAGTTTTCTCCCAAAGTTTCCAAATTGTGACTTTTGGAGTACATATTTATATCGGTTTTGTTTTTTTCATTTGTAATTCCTTAAAACTGTTTACCATTTTTGAAAAGGCAGTACTTTTGTTCTCTCAGCTTATACACAAAAGATAATACATATTTTATGGAAGCCCCGACAGACAAGTGAGAAAAAAAAAACTTTCAGGTGAAGTCTGACCTAAGTTGTTTTCTCTCCTGTGTTTATGACTTCGGAACAGGCGAATCAAAGGATCACTTTTCTAAGTTACTCTTTTTTATCTGTGAAAACAGTGAAAACAATTTTTTTTTTAATTTATTTAAATTTATTTTATTTTATTATTATTTTATGTGTCATGATCATTTTTTTAAAGTATTTGTTGTGGTGATACTCATTTTGGCCACAAGGGGCTGAAGCATGCCACTAAACCATGTTCTCAAAAGGACTTGTACAGCACTCATGTTTTCTTCCAGGTGAGTTAATTTCTACATGCACACTAAACACAAAGGGTCTCATTCATGAAACGTGAGCAGAAGGAATTTGTGTGTAAACTGTTAACAGAAAAAAATTTAAGTGCATGTCCGCATTCATCAATATTTTAGTAGCTCCGATCTTTTCGTAACTACTAACAAAATCTACTCCTGCTCCTGACCACTCGTAGTGCTTGTGTAAATTTAGTAAAGCACATAAATATTGCTTTTCACTATTGGAAATTACAATTTTAATTTGTATTGCACTCTGTTATGTACACAATACACAGATGCCTTTGAAACACATAATCTAAACATGACAAAATATTAAAAATATAACACATTTAGTTAAATTAGTTGGCAGTTAGCAGGTTTAAGATCCAGATTAGCTTCATGATTGTGAATTATCTATGTAAATCGACTCAATAGATTACACGTTCTTTCTACATGTTGAATGATGATAATAAAAATATCCCTAAGGACAGCTGGATCACAGCCTCTTCGGCCTCGGTGCCTGGGTTCAGCAGGGGCAGCAGGGGCAGCAGGTGGTGGAGCCACGAAGGAGCACGCGCCAGCTAAAAGAATCATTTGAGACAACATGTTGTTTTGTTTGTTTTTTTTGTGGCTTTTTGATCATTTGAATGAATAAATCTGATTTGAAAAATGTTTAATTTATGTTTTATAAAACAGAGCTTTAGGCTATTAAGATTCAAATAGACTAATTTGAAGACGATGCATACAAAACTGCTGTAGGCTATATGTTATCCCATTTGTTAAAATAAATGTTAAATAGCTCTACATTCTGACAGCCATCACTGATTTAGAGTTTATCCATTACGCACAAAACATCTCTGGTTTCCCGTTCCCACTTCATTCAAAACCCCACAAATGAATCTTCTGTTTGTTTGGTGACTGCTGTATTTTTTGTGTGTGTGCTTATGCGTTTCTTTGCCTCCAGTTTCATATCAAACCATTTACGCTTCACCTCTGACATGGTTCTTTGTACCACGGAGACAACATTAACAGCATCTGTTACCTCCCTCCAGGCCTTCGCTTTGCCTGTCCCTGTCGCACCACTATTAACTGAAGACAATAAAATGTTTTTTCTTAAGTCCACTTCACCCAAAATTATTTCGATCTCCGATCTGGAAAAAATCTTTTTTCTTTCTCTCTCTTTCTTTCTTTGCGCCATGACTGACAGGTCGACAGGATGCATCTACACCTCCTTATATGGTGGTCATTGGCTATTCATGGGCGGGGATTTATGCTAATTGCTGATTACCGGGAGCGCGCTGTCACTTTACGATGGATTGGCATTCATGATCATACACACGTGTTTACGATCAAATCTTAGTTTCCCACGGCGTTCCTGAATCCGGAGTAGGTTTTTAGTAGAGTAGGCTTTTATGTGCAAATCTACACACAGATTTACTCACTTTTCATGAATGAGACCCAAGGTACATATCTCATGTTAGTAAGTAACATTACTGCCATGTCTTTCTGTTAGCTCAAGATGCATTTTAAT